TCAACAATGAATTAATACCAGAATACACAAGACTATCAAAAACTAGATACGGATTTAATTATTCCGGCGTGAAATTTTTTAATGCGCTGCCCAGGTTTTGTCAAGCACTTAACTCAACCATTTTTAAAGCAACTGTGAAAAGATATCTAGTGAGGGAAGCTTTTTACAGCATAGATGAGTTTTTAAATAATGATTTTAGCGACTTTGTTCCATAAGTGTTGACTGTTTGTTTTATAACTTTGTTTTCGTTTGTGTTTTTTGTGTATGTGTTATTTTTGTATTGCATTTTATTGTTCTCCAGACGTGTGGAAGGACTTTTGAGTCCAAAAATGAAAAAATTATTATTCTTTCGTAATCTTTTAATCATTTTATTGTTCATCTAGATTTTAAACTAGGTTTTATCAAGTTTTTTTGTCACTTGCGTTTTACGTTTGTCTTATTTTCGTATTGTTTGTTGTTTCTACTTACTCTTTTTTGTTCAACTCTAATTGACCTGTGCAAACACATTTTTGTGTAATAGTACCAATAAATTACTATTATTATTTATTACTATTATTATTATTACGTGCGACATGAGGTCGCGCAGTGTCCTGCTGAAAAAGTGGATCTTGCAATGCTTCCAAAAAGGGAAGCAGATGTGGTTGTAAAACTTCATGGATATAGCGCTGGGCAGTCAAGATGGGGACGGTATGAAAACAGTCCAAAAGACCTTATTCGGCGACAAACTTATTGTTATTGGCCTTCTGGCAGCATCAAACGACTGTACCACTGCAGTCTGACTTTGACGTCCAGAACCTCCAACTCGTCGATTTTGGTGTTCTTGGAACCACGCCCGACAACATCTCTTTACAGTAGCTTCGTTTAGATTCTCACCCGATTAGCTATTTCTCTAAAAGAAAATCCGGCTTCACGTAACCCCTCTGAAACTCGAAAAGTTGAGTGCAATTAGCGCATCTGCGAACTCTCGGCATGATAATGCAATGAAACACCAATGAAACAAATGGAACCAACACAGAAAAATCACTGAATATTAAGTAAACATCTTCATATTGTTCGGATCCTCATATGACAAAAAAAGCATTTAAGTATTTTTATCAACGTATACTTCCATGATAGCAAACAAATGTTTACAAGTTTTTATCAAAATTCAATAAGTAATTCTGGGTATTGCATTCTATATGTCACATATTATACATATAAGATGGAATTACATGCATAACACCTATATTGAAATGTCATTTTTTGTTGTCGAAAAAATATATTTCGATGCCTAGCACACAATCACGTAAATTTTTTTCTACGGATAGCGAATTAGTGAAAAAAGTTGTACGAATAAGTCTCTGGATTCATGGTTTGGATGTAAAACGGCCAATTCGACACCCCCAGGTGCTTGCTTTGCCCGGGTTTCCCCTATGTAAGTAGCTCAAAAAGGTTAAACCATGTGGCATGTTAATAAGTTCATATTTCAGAGTCATTTTCAATACTAACCAATGAAATACATACGTATATATGATTAATAAGATTCTTTTCCTTAAGTAATACAGGGTGTTCCTTAATGATATGCGAATATTTAAGGGTGTGAATCTATATGAAAAATTAATGTTAGTTTGCTTTATAAACTGTGGTTCAAAAATGTTTCCTTACAAAGTGCCGGAGTGCTGAAGTTTTAGGAATGAAATGGAAATTAATTAATATTTTTAGAGCCGCTTCAGATATTTCACTGATATTCAGTACGTAGTGAAAGTTAATAAAGTTGCATATTTTTCAATGCAAAAATAATTTTTAGCTTTAACAGTGGCGTGCGTACAGGTATTGACTTCGATATTTTTTAGGAAAAAAATGGTACGCCAATAGTTTTTTGCCAAATAGCAATTATTTTTGAATTCCCCCTTCAATTTAAAACAAATGGTCTCTCTTGAAATGTATTGCTTAGATGCGCCATTTTTGAGTAAAAAAATAAAAACCGTTCTATTATCCGAGAAAATTAATGTAATAATTGAAGTATACAATTTAGCAATAAATATCTTGCTGCTCTAGAATATGTCACTGTCTTAGACATCTGACAAGTCTCTGTTATTCAAATCTGTTCGCTGTGACATCTTTTTCATTATTTAGTTTTTACAATCTTGTTAATAATGCTGAATTATTCAAATCCAGAAATGGCGGAAATGCATTACGTATATGGCCTTGCCGACTGTAATGGTGAGCAAGCCAGACGGATTTATCACCAGAGATATCCCAATCGTGCTTTGCCAGATAGTCGAACCTTTTCTAATATTCATCGTCGTCTTGTTGAAACTGGTTCTGAAGGTAGACCTCTAAGTGTGAAAATACCTGAAATTGACGAAGCAGTGCTGCACTAAATCGAAGAACATCCTGAAACGAGTACGAGGAAGATCGCTAGACACTTAAATATTTGCCATCAAATTGTTTTGAGAATTTTAGTGGATTTTTTGTTATATCCTTACCATATTTTAAGAGTACAGGCATTACTTCCCATTGATTTTCCAAGACGTGTGACCTTTTGTCAGTGGTATCTTCAAAAAATTACACAAAATCCGCAATTTGAATCAATGACGAGGCTAATTTTTCTCGAAATGCCATTCAGAATTTCCACAATAATCATTTGTGCGCAGAAGAAAATCCCTATGCCGTAACCGAAACCCATTTACAACACCAATTTTTGGTTAACGTATGGGCAGGAATTATTGGCAACCACTTTATTGGCCCGTTCTTCTTGCTGGGACGACTTGACGGGCAGATTTACCCCAATTTTCTTCAACAACATTTGCCTTTGCTGCTTGATGATGTTCCGTTAGTAATAAGAACCAATATTGTGGTACATGCATGATGGTGCACCAGCGCATTTCAGTGTAGCGGTTCGTAATTTATTTACAAACTGTTTATCCAAATCGTTGAATTGGCCGCGGTGGGCCACAAGAATGGCCACCAAGGTTCCCAAACCTCAACAGTTTAGATTTCTTTTTGTGAGGCTATCTTAAGACACTAGTGTACACAAGTCCCATTAACACTGTAGAGGAATTAATAGAAAGAATAGTTGCAGTTTGTGATGAGAAGGAGTGCGGAAGCATGCATACTAAGTGAAGGGGGCCATTGTCAACAATTTTTGTAATAATTTCGTTGGTTTTAGTGTTATGTTAATGATATCAGTTGTTGTTCATTACCCCTAATGTGTTTAATTTTTCTAATTAAAAAAATAATAATTTAACGATTTTAATTTTTTTTACTCAACAATGGCGCATTGAAGGAAAACAATTCAAGAGAGATCATTTGTTTTAAATTGAACGGGGAATTCAAGTATTGAAGTATTCAAGTATTTTTTATTCGGCAAAGAACCATTGGCGCACCATTTTTTTCTTAACAAATGTCGAAGTCAATACCAGTACGCACGCCACTGTTAAAGCTGAAAATTATTTTTGCATTGAAAAATATGCAACTTTATTAACTATCACTATATACTAAATATCAGTGAAGTATCTGAAGCGGTTCTGAAAATATTAATTAATTTCCATTTTTTTCCTAAAACTTCAACACCCCGAGTTTTTGTAAGGAAACATTTTTGGACCATAGTTTATAAAGCAAACTAACATTAACTTTTCATGTAGATTCACACCCTTAAATATTCGCCTATCATTAAGGAACACCCTGTATATCGCTAACCCTGTTTCCTGCTGAAACTACCTAAGCCCATAACAGTGTTTCGGGCATTTCCATCATTATTATTAATAAACAGTGGAGGTTATTCGAAATTTCAATCTTGTTGAACTCAAATACTACAGCTCAGAAAAGTTCCTTAAAACTGGTTCATTTGTCGGTGATACAGTTTTTAGTAGTTCTCGAAGTGGAACTTACAACGTTTTTGCGCTGACCGATTCAATTCTTTTTCTAAAATTCTACCTGTCCTGGTCTATATTACTTTACTCCGCTACACCGATTTGGTAATCCTTCATAAACGAACGTGAGTTACCTACTCAAAGAGCAAAGTTCAATCTAGTGTTCCGCGTTTGCAAGTACGCAGAAGGGTCGCACCGGCGACAAACACACAAAACTGCCGCGTTTCGAGTGTCGAGAGCGAAAATAACAGGCAGAGACTGCTTGATTAGAGTCGAGGCTAATTTCAGCACCCGCCGCCACATCAAAGATGGCGGTTTCCAGTTGCAACGTGGATAATTTCACAGTTAATCTCGATGGTTGTCACCAGAGGATGGCTGCTAATTATGCTCAAGCGGTGGAACGAGGTTGTATTGGCCTGCTGGCTCGAGGCTCTCTCGCATCGTATCAGCCATTTTCTGGCTAGTTATCGGTTAGGTATAGAAACTAAATACCGGGATGGCAGATTTGTAGGTCTTTACGCTGGGAGAATCCAAAACAGGACGTCAACGATTAAATGTAGTACAATAAACATGTAATTTGTAACGAAAACCCCAGTAGCATTGGTGAGCTATAATACCATCAAAGCAAAGAAAAAGTTGTCTCTAATGTCTTGTCAAGACCGCTGTAACCTTCTAATGCTTTATAAAGCTGTACCAAGGTATTCAAGAAGTATTTTGGCAATGAAGGATCTGTTAGAGAAGAGTTGTTGATCAGTCGGACAGCCCTAATCTGGACAACATCAAACATAAATAATGTAGTCGAGGTGGCCGCACCCCAAAAGTGTGAGCAATACTCGAGGCTACGCCTCGTATAGAGTAAGGAGGTCATGCGGAGAAAAGTACAAATAGTCTAGCTTTTTCCCAACAGCTACCGCTACTGACGAGTTGTGTTCGTGCCAGATCAAGTCCTCGGTGATCTGTACTCCAACCATCCGCAATCTGCTCTTTGTCATTGTCGGATGATTAACAAGCTTTAAGCACAATGGCCGCGAAACTCAGCTTTACTTTTCTGTACGACTTTTATGAAAAAAGCGTTTATCATAATGTGAACATAAGAAAATTACTGCTTAAGTTGAATTGAGGCTGATTGGATGTATTACTTTCTAGGTTCGATGTACTAGTGAACGGAGGAGGAGCTGTTACTCTTCAGTTCCAGAGGTCTCCGTTCAAGCCTACGACGATAACGGTTTTTGTGCCATGGAATGAGATCATTGTCTTACCACCAATCCATATGCAACTGAACGAGGAAGCTGTGGGACACGTACAGCAAAGGTAAGCTTGATTAGGGGGCTACTCAATACATTTTTTACTTTGCAAATAATTTTTAATATATAATATTTATACAAGGTGTTTCAGAACTAAGAGATCAAACTTCTAGGGGTTATTCAGTGTAACAGTAGAAAACCTTTGAGTATAGGTACCCATATCAGGAAAAGTGTCACTACGGCTCTACGGCCCTAAGACGCAATAAAATTTAGAAAGACGATGAATTGCCTAAATAGGATTTAATGCATTTAATTTTGGCCTTTTGTACATGATATTATCACAACAATTGTTCAAAATGTCTTCCTCCAACCTGAATACACCGATTTAAACGTCGCACATGATTTCGGCTGACTTGACTAAAAATTTGATTAAGGCTTGCTCTGTTTCTACTGGAGTTTCGAAAACCAAAGTCTTTACATGTCCCCACAGGAAAAAATCTAGCCACGTTAAATGGGGTGACCTAGGAGGCCAAGAAATTGCTCCACCGGCACTGGCAATCTAACGGTGTCCAAACCGCTGAGCCAAATACTCACGTACTTGTACAGCAAAGTGAGCCGGCCTAACATTTTCAAAAAGTTCTGGAAGAACTTCCTCCAAGAAATGCCGGTAAATAGGTCCTGTTAACCGTTCCTGTAGAAGGCATGGCCCAGTAAAATAATCATCAACAATGCCTGCCCATAGGTTGACAGACCAACGTTGCTGATGTTTTCTAGTAAAAATTGCATGGGGATTTTCTTTGTCCCAAACGTGGCTATTCCTATTATTAAAAATACCGTCTCTTGTGAAAGAGGCTTCCTCGGTCCATTAAACATATCGTAAAAAATTTGGTTGTGCAGCGATTTGATGAAGAAGCCATTGACAAAATTGAACTCTAGGATGATAATAGGCTGCAGTCAATCCTTGAACTTTCAGGAAGTGGTAAGGATAAAGTTGTCGCTCAGGCGGAAGCGTTACTCGTATTCATATGCTCAGCAATGTGACGTGTGCTACTTGATGGTTCGTCGGCAACTCGCTGAAGGACTTCTTCTTCAAATTCGACCGTTGTTACGGTTCGAGCAACACCAGTATCATGCATTTTGGTTTTAAACATGCCTGTCTCGGAGAGCCGCCGATGAATAGCAATAAACTTTTTGTATCCCGGATGCTGTCGTTCGGGATAACGTTCTTGATACGACCGCGCTGCTGCTCGTGCATTGCAGCTTGTTGCTCCGTATGCCAAATGCATATCCGCCAATTCTTTATTGGTGAAGTTTTTCATTAGCAACAATTAATTTTTGTTAAATTCTTGCAAACTTCACAAATACGATAGCACGACTAAGGCGATATGGAATGCAGCTACAAAAAACAATCTCTGTTATCGTTTTTAAAGATAACAACACACAAGCGACGGATATGGGTTCCTATACTGTTACATTGAATAACCCCTACAAGTTTGCCCCATAGTTCTGAAACACCCTGTATATTTTAATAATTATCTGTTGCTCGAATGTTTTTTAAGACTACAAAATCTTTGAGGCTTCCAAATTGTTCATTTAATCGTAGATTTAAAGCATGCCTTTATCGTTTAAGAGGAATATTTACAATTACAAATTGTCAAAATTGCCAAAAAATACATTTGCTTCACTCAAAACAAGCAATAATCTATTTTCGAAATGAGAAATGTTCACTACTTCCAAAATATCAAAAACGTCAGGACAATAGATGTATCTGAAATAACCACAATTTTCTTAGCTTACATTTTTCCAATCTTAAAATCACTTCAATTATCGTTAAATTTCAACGATTAGACATTTTCTAAATATTTCAAGTACCGAAATATAGCCTGTAAGTAATAACGACTTTCGGAGTGTCCAACATTTTTAATATCTCCTTTATTGAAATTGTCAATGCTATTCAAATTTTCAAGTTTTTTAAATGTTACAATTTTCAGAAAAAAAAAACAGAATTTCTTTTTCCTCAGCTACATTCCAAGGAACCCAGCAATGAACTTCCCAGGCGTCGCCAGAACCTTTTTCGATCCCAATAACGCTCTGCCGGCCACCTGCGATGACCACGATCCGGAACTTCTATCTCCAATCGTAACCGGAACCTGGATGCCGGAAGCCGTTGGAGGCATCGAAGGCAAGAGCGCGATCTTTGCAGAGACCCAGATCGTCCAGGAATCCATACCAATTCCGGGGTCCGACTTGCACATCCTCTACCAAAGTTCTCAGTCCACGGGGTACCTCAGCACGATCTACATGAAGCTCACTGGGCCTCAGACACCGAAGAGTCTTACCCATGTGCACGTTAGGGTTGAAATAGAAGGATCATTGCATATCAAGACTTACGAGGCGGACCCTAACTTGACGCACACGTTTGCATGGAATAAGAGGAATATCTACAAACAGAAGGTCTACGGGATCGTACAGGCCAAGGTAAATATGAGGAATTCAACTCTAAAATCCCATCTTTAGTCCAATTAGAATAGTCTAAAGACAGCGAATACTTTGATGAAACCGACAAAACATTTCAGACCGAGACTTATATTTTGAGTCACTATTTCAGAAAATGCATTTGACCTCGGCGTATTAGATACGTTAACTTTTTTTCCTTTTATTGTCAATTTACGTGCACTGGGTATCAATAGTCCGATCTTCTGGTGGTTAAAAAGGAGATTTGGAAGCTGGCAACGCTGCTGGACCACACTAGTCAAACACGTCATAAGAACCAGCCACGATATACTATAGCATCTCTGACGGCGATGCTGTCAGATGCAAGGCAGGATTCGGCGAATGAAAGTGATCGTTGCATCGCATCATCCCGGCCGACTGCGTGTCTCGTCTATTATTTCTTTAAGTTATGAGGGAAAGTGTACGGAAAATTGTGACATCTGTACTTACAGCAGCGTTAAACTACATGCATGGGAAGTGAAAATGGGAAAATGCGTGAAAAGGATGAGTAATCCCGTTTATTTTCATTCCATTGGCAACAGTACACTTTATCTTCTGCTTCAGGTTTCTGTGGGCTACCAGCATTCCAGCTGTATAGAGCCCGTTTGGGAGATGCAAACCGTGGACATCAAAGGCTTCGACGTGGACATATCCGACATTGGAGGCTGGGGCTTGGACATCCACCACCACTACAATTTCCACGAGGGGATCCTCCAGAAAGGGGATGGTTCCACTATCCATTTCAAGCAGTATCCACGTATGGTAAGAGTAATCATGGGAACAGGACTACAGAGAGCATTAAATTGCCCAGGGCAATGCGGAGGCTTGGCGAAGGATGCCAAGCTGCTGACCCCTGGCTCTCTCACTACAGGACCTGACGGTAGTATCTACGTTGGTGATTTCAACCTCGTAAGGAGAATAACGCCGGAAGGGAATGTGTACACAGTGTTGCAGCTTAGGTAAGTAGCGATGATACATGGGTCCATTCCGACAGTGGTTTAAGAACCAAGAAACCTGGCCAAAAACACGAAAAATTTATTCAGCATTTGACTTCAGATTTTGATCACAGTTTGAGGGATGTCTGATTCATCTGTTGATAACCTTAGTTCCGTTTTGACAGCTCTGCATGCAGAATTATCGTGTAGTGAATGTCTAACGATTATGCGACATTATACAATAATTGCAAAAATACCTTGAACATATACAGGGTGTCCAATAAGTACGACAACAAACTTAAGGAGAAGGTAGGCTTTGGACTGACGTCCCAAATAACAAAAACTTACCTATATAAAAAGGTCACCATTGTTGAGATATTGAATTTTTTCTTAAATTTAAAAAAAGAAGAACATTTTCATCTGTGGTCTTTAGCTGCATGTACAAATAAGGTTATACGTTGTTCATTTTTTCTATAAAATACTTCTAGATAGTTGCTTTATCATATACAAATGCAATGTAGTTAAAATCTATTAATTTACCATGATCAAATAAGGACTCTTGGGATTTATAACCTTCAGATATTTTTCCTCAACATTGACCAGCTGTGGTGAGACCAAAATGTACTGGGCTATAACTGCATTATATTGTTGTGTTGTACTTAGCATGTTATTGGACTGTAACTTAAATTTAAATCCAATAATAACATTGTAGTGTGTGTCAGACACAAATATCACTTTTTTCTATTCAAAATAGTACGTGTGGCGCCGTTCTGAAATCTGTATTCAATGAGCAATATTTTATTCAATAAATGCAGTTATAGCCCAGTACATTTTTGTTTCACCACAGATGGTCAATGTTGAGTAAACAATATCGGAAGGTTATAAATCCCAAAACAGTCCTTATTTTATCACAGTTCCTTAATATATTTTAAGTACATTGCATTTGTATATGATAAAGCAACTATCTGGAAGTATTTTGTAAAAAAAATGAACAAAGTATAACCTTATTTGTACATGCAGCTAAAGATCACAGATGAAAAGGTTAGTTTTTTTTAAGTTTAAGAAAAAATTCAATATCTCAAAAGCGGTGACACTTTTATATAGGTAACTTTTTGTTATTTGGGAGGCCAGTCCAAAGCCTACCTTCTCCTTAAGTTTGTCGTGGTACTTATTGTATAACACTCAAAATTAAGCAATTAAAACATTTTTTGCATATTCTATGTCCATCCTAATGGATGGTCAATTTTAATTGTTGAAAAACGATAACTAAATAAATGAACTAAATAACTAAATTTGTTATCGGCAACTCCCAAAATACATAAAACTAAAATGTCGCAGTGACCTCAAAAACATACAAAATTCAATTCCGAGCGTAATCCAAACAATTTTTCAAACATGTCCGCCATATTGTACACGCGTTTTCGCGACCTGATATAAATGGAATTTTTTGGTGAAATTTAGTGAATCTTTCTAGTTTTGGCTTTGTTTTAAGACTTGACCTACAGTCATTCCCCATAAGATTTCTCCAACAGATTAAGATACACATATGTATCCATATACCTAGAATGAGAAATTTTAGTAAGCAAAAATGATTCTGACACAGAGCTTCAGAGGGGTCAAAGTAATTTACTGACACAATTTGATAGGAACAATCATTAGAAGAAATACAACTGATTGTGCTCGTGACGTCGGTATGTGATGATTTTTTGAGATAAAAGTACTTTCTGCATTAAAAAGAGTAGTTATAACGTACCTAGACGAAATAAATAAGCAAACATCAGAAAACAAAGCATTAAAAGAAATTAAAGATCGATTACACCCGATCCACTCAATTAGACTCAAAACTAAAATTTAATATAGTAGAATGTTTCGGCTATACTTGTCGGTTTCTAAAATATGAAAAGGTGACAGCAATTCAGCGGAAAAATTGAAAACCAATGTTTATGCAAATAGGTGTATGTAACTTGTTATAATTTATGAAGGATCAATTTAATATACCCTAAGGCTTACTTCAATTATTACTATTTATTTTATGAGTACGTTTCTACAGAATTTACTAAAGAAGTGAACTGACTAACCAGAGTGGTTTGCTCATAAAACTTGTTGGCTCATCAGCGTCGAAAGATTGTGGAAACATAGACATTTTGTATTTATTTGATAGATTGCTTTTTTCTATCTTCCTGATTTGATAGATTGGTTTTTTTGTATCTTCCTGAAGTCTCCTTCCAAACTACAGTAGGAAACAATTTATTTACAGGACAACCCAAGTGGCATACCAGTATTACCTCACAGTATCGCCAGCTGATGGTCATCTGTACGTTTCTGACCCAGAGAAACATCAAATTCTGAGGGTGCTATCATTACAACCTGTGCAAGATCCTATTCTCAATAGTGAACCAGTAAGTATATATATATATATATATATATTGTTTGAAATGATAATTTCATTATTGGCTGCTGAACCAAGTTTCCACAACTGCCAGATTCACATGATATTGTGGCAAAGCTGGCAACATTTCTGCCTGTAATGGAATTTTTATATATGCATATGTGGAATGACAACACCGACATTCCTAGGATATCAGAAATGTTTCATAGTCGAGTACCAAAAATGGCGTCAGGTAGATAGACTCTGAACTTCCTTCGCAAAGCTATCATCAGTTCATAAGGGATTATTTTTGGCGCAAGTATTACCGCTTTAAAAAGAAGTTAAACTCTCCGAACATGAATATCAAAGTAGTTAAATGAATGAACTCATTCAAATAGGTCCATGCAATTAGTCCTTAGTTCTCATTTGGCAGCATTGCGCTTCTGATACGTACGCCATGCATTTGCGAAATTTTTTACGCTTACAAAGTTTCCTCGCCAGTAAGCGCGGGAAGTAAAATGAGAGAACATAACGTAGTACATAGTCCGCACTGTTAACGCAATGAGTCATTTTGATACTTAACTATAGGAGATTCATCAACTTCCAAAACTTGAATCAATCGATTCTCCTTCTTTCCTTTCCACTAGCAAGGTATTCTGTATTTAGGTACTACCTTCGCGTTTACTAGAGCACAAAGGACCTGTTATTTTGATTAACAGTTCCTTGAATATTCACAGAAATCAAATTTCAATATATTTTAAGTAGGTTCACGCAGTCACTACATGAAATTATCTCTTGCAGGTTGTAGGAAATGGCCAAAGATGCATTCCTGGTGACGAGAGCGCCTGTGGCGATGAAGGTCCAGCAAAGGACGCCAGACTGGCCCATCCAAAGGGCATCGCTATATCGGTGGATGGAACAATGTACATTGCAGATGGGACTAACATAAGGGCAGTCGATCCCAAAGGAATCATACACACTCTTGTCGGGAACCATGGACACCATAACCATTGGACGCCTGTGCCTTGTAGAGGAGCCATCCCGGCATCACAGGTAAGTTGAAAGTTCAGACATTAAAGCAGTGTTTAGTGAGTTTTAGTAGTTGTTTGTCCATGCAATAGTTTCTGAAGATCTCCGTCAATTGAAAACCGTGCCCCAAGTAAGAATCTATTGGAAAGGTGGATTAAGAGGTTCCATCAAACAGGCTCTACTCTCAGTCAGCCCATTCCTGGCCCCATACCTACTGTATCAACCGAAGAAAATGTGTGTCGAGTAAGTGATTCGGTGATTGCAAATCCTTGGCGTTCTGTATGGAAGCAATCCGCTGCGTTGGAATTCCTAGGTCAACACTGCATGGCATAATGAAGAAAAAAAATGGGTTTACATCCTTATAAAATCCAATCAGTCCATGCTTTAAAGGAAAGTGATTACGTATTACGGAAATCTTGTGCTGAACGGATGTTGAATCTTTTTCCTACGCAGCGCAGACTCGAAAACGTTGTTTTCAGTGACGAGGCACATTTTCACTTGGACGGTTATGTGAACAAGCAAAATTGCAGATACTGGGCACCAACGAACCCAAAAGAGAAACATCAACAACAGCTAGTCCAAAGGTGTCTATTTGGTGCGCCTTATCATCTAGCGGTATTATTGTACCATATTTCTTTGAAGATCATGCATTGATAGTCAATTCCGAGCTATACAAAGACATGATTGACACTTTTTCGCTCCTATTGTAAGAACACAACGTCGATTTAACAGAAACACGTGGTTTCAACAGGATGGGGCCACTACCCATACTTGCAGAGAATCGATGGACATGGTGAAAGCACTTTTTCCTCAAACAGTTATATCGATGTTTGGAGGAGCTTAAAGACAACATTCGACGAGAAATAAACAACATCACTCCGGAACTCTGCAAGAGAGTGTTTTAGAATTTGCGCGCACAATTAGAAGAGTGTGTCCGAAGGGATGGCAAACATTTGGACGGAATTCTATTTAAGAAATAAAACCCGCCTAATTTACGAATATGTTGATAGTAATAAATATTTTCTTTTCATTAAGTTTGTATTTTTTCCTCTTAAATCTAAAGTGAACTTTCCGTCTATAATAATTATGAGGAAGACTGTGAGGTAAGGTCCTGTAAGATTGGTGTCATGTTTAAGGACAAGAATTATCTGCAAAAGGAAAACGTGAGTCTATTTGATTACTTCTGAGAAAATTACTGCGGTACTACTTGGCAACATCGCTGTGGCAATGCAAATTGGATGTGAATGTTCAAATACAGCATAGGGTTATGGATCCTCTTGGAGAATTCGTTAAGACATTGACCGCCGTTTCAAACACAGGAGACTGACACTGAACTATTTCAATTGTGCCGTGTCATCAAGACTGACACTACTCGCCTACATTTAACTTTTTATTTAGAGCTATCTGACATGATTTCTTATACCCTCTCCAGACTCGCGCGCGGATCATGGCGTGAAATCGCGGCGCGGATCTCAGTGCGAATCCTGAAAACTCTACCTACAGATCCACAGTCACAGATGTTCGCCCCTGATTCACAGTATAGTTCGCGCTCTTGACGAGTATTGACGGTGAAATTGCTACTGCTGCTGCAGAGCTACTTTTCGCTTTGCCAATTTATAATTACGCATATATAAGAAAAACTGAGGCAATTGAAAAGAAATGGCACTCGCTATGAGGCAACTGAGCCACCAGCGAATGAGGAGCGTCATGTTCGTTATATGTTAGAGCCTTGCGAACCCTTTGTCGCTGAACAAAAAACCGACAATAAACGGGAACAACGCGCGAACGCGACGTGAAGCCGCGGAGAATAAAAACTATTTATATCCTTATGCCCTTTCCAGACTCACGCGCGGATCGCGCGCGAAGTCGCGAACTACCCGCGGCCCATGAGTGTGGATCCCATTCGCGTATTCTTCGCGGCTTCACGTCGCGTTCTCGCGTTGTTCCCGTTTGTTGTCGGTCTTTTGTCTCGCGACAAAGGGTTCGCAAGGCGCAGACATATCGCGAACATGACTAGGTTCCTCATTCGCTGGTGTTCCAGCTGCCTCATAGCGAGTGCCGGGAATGGTTGTGTTTTTTCCACTTCTTTTCAATTGCTCTAGTTTCACTTATATATGAGTAATTATAAATTGCCAAAGCGCAAAGTAGCCCTGCAGCAGCAGTAGCAATTTCACCATCCATACTATACTATAACTATCTAAAACTGTAATGACTCATCGATGTTCACGTGAACATCACTTAACTACCAGTAGTCGGCTGTTCATAGGCGGGGTATGAATGTTTAACATGGGTGAACTGGATCTGTCACATGCTTAATAAAGAGTGGTTTGAAACATATTGTAAGTCAAAAATTTGGGAATTACCTTTATTCATCGTCGCTTCCACTTACATCTGACAGTAATAAACTGTCGCTATCGCTTTCCTCGTTGAAATTGACTATAACTGGCTCTATGATGGTGTCGATGTGGTGGTCAAGCTGCCACATTTTTGTTTCTTCCTTCACAACATGACGGATAGCATTCTGCCAAGCTTCGGGCGTTAGTAGCTGTATGGAAGTCTCAAGTAAAACCTTAACGTCTGGTAATTTGAAGGTTGTGTTATGGCGCGCAATATAACCCTTCACTTGAGCCCAGATGACCTCTATTGGGTTCAGTTCACAGTGGTAGGGCGGTAACCGCAGCACAGTGACACCACATTGACGGGCCATCTCATCAGTCACGTAACTAATGTTCGCAGGTTTGTGCTGTTTAATTTTTTCATACAATTCCGCTTTCACACATGAATCGTCAAACGGGATTCCTTTTTCGCGCAACCATTGCTGCATGTCACTTTTTCGAGATCCCATAGTCGGTACACGTTCGGCTCGACGACTATGGTAGGAAGCATTATCCATGACGATCACAGAGTTGGGCTCAACTCGCTGAAGCACCCCTTGAAACCAGCTCTCGAAACAGCTGGCATTCATTTCGTCATGGTAATCACCTCCTTTCTTAGAGACGAAAATCAAGTCACACTCTTGTAAAAAGCCACTATCGCTACCAATATGAGTTACGATCAATCTTTGACCTTTCCCTGACGGTCCACGAAGACCTGTTGACAAACCTTCAATGCTTGCTTGTCGGTTATTCACTACGTTTTTGTCTATCCAGGTTTTTTTAACTGTGTGACCTGCATTTACCCATGTCTCGTCCAAATAATAGATTTTTCTGCTTTGTCGCCTATATTCAATCATTTCGCGTAGGTATTTTCGACGCCAGGCGACTATTTCAGGTCTCTCTATCAATACTGACTTCCGATTACGCGTTTCGTAACGAAAATTAATTTCGTGCAGGGATTTCCTCATTACCTCGACGCTCATTTAGGGTATAATTTCATTTTCCTTGATCGCTGCATGTACAGCATTGAGGGTTGGTATCTCATTCCTAAAGAAGAATGAATGTACGGTTCGCCTTAATGCCATTTTGCTATCGTCATCCAATTTAACGGCCTTTCGTCCCTTCAAATTAAACTTTGGATCAGTAGTAGCTCCAGTTTTCTTCTTTTCATGCACCACCCTGCGAATGGTCCACTCTGAAACGCCTGTCATACTTTCACAACGCGCGAGTGCATCTCCCTGCGACATAGTTCTGTTCAGATAATTGAACACGATTTCTTTCGCGTCCCTCTTCAGTGCTTTACGAAGCCGTCTACTTGTTCCCTGGCTTTCAGTACTTCCATTCGTGCCATTTGTACTCTCCATGGTTAAGTATAACCAAAACAGTAACCACAGAAACCACAACAATAACAATCACACAACAATTCTTATAAAAACACACAATATGCCATCGCTCAACGAAACACGTTCCAATGCGTTGCCGACGCCTATGAGTCTGCCGGTCGAGGCGCGTCTTTGATTTCATTGGCGGAGAACAATCAGCCATTATTTCCATCTCTGTCTGTGCTGTTGACCACCACAAAGCCACAGAAACGACATATGTCGTACGCTATACGGCTGTACTGGAAGGAAGCCGGGATCGAGCTCTGATCACGTGTTGATCACGCGTATGAGTCCTGTCAGTTTTAAATAGTTGTAGTATAGTCAAGAGCGCGAACATCTGCCAGTGTGTAACTGTAGGAACTTTCGGGATTCGCACCGCGATCCGCGCCGCGATTTCACGCCGTGATCCGCGCGTGAGTCTGGAGAGGGTATTAAGTTTCTTAGACTGGCGTGTTGAACGACATAGTTTTGTGACGTGTAACGTAGAAACATTTGTCTTTTGAACTGTTTTATAACAAACAGGAAAAAAAACTGTATAACATGTAGGTACATGAACAAAGTTAAATAATCCGATATTTTCGAAATTTCAGGCGCAACTGCAATGGCCCACGGGCATCGCGTTATCTCCACTAGATGGCAGTCCGCACTTCATCGACGACCGACTGGTGCTCAAATTGACAGCTGACAGGAAGGTGCGCGTCGTTGCCGGTGCGCCCTTGCATTGTCGCAGGGAGAATTCCACTGCAGCCAGTGGCGTCACGTTAGGGGCAGTGCTGTCTTTGGCATTTGCACCTAATGGCGATCTGTACGTAGCTGAGGCTGATGCTAGGAGCGAGTATAGCGTTAGGGTGGTTGATACTGCCGGTAAGTTTATTGAATATAATAACGACACTATTGCAATCTGATCTATCGATGACATTCGGGTTTTGGGGAAGTTTACTCGGTGCACTGGGGTAATTTGAGATTCTGATCTGAAATATGGTCGACAGAAAATGCCGCAAAGCCCGTATTTGGAGTACGACGATGTGACTTTAGGAACCTCCAGTCGGATCAAAAATCTGAAATCAATTTCTTATCCTACGCATCAGATTTACCCAAGAAACAGTTGTTGGTCGAGATTTCAAATAGGCTTACTATTTAAGCAAGTTTTCAGGTGCTCTTACACATTTGCACTTTTGATGGGCATTTTCGAAATTAAAGTACCAACTTACTCGCGTATATCGAGTATGTGTGGGACAAATCTTGGAACTGAATTTTGAACTAGTTAACCTTAACAAATTGAGGTGAAATTTTGTACACACGTTTGGTTCGTGTAATAATACAAAATGAATTAGTTGCGACCATTTTGAATCCAATATGGCGGATGCTACAAAATTGCGTTTTATCATTTCCCTATGATACGGGTATCAAAATGAAAGAGCTTGATGTGAGAAATTATTGTGTTATTATTGTGAAGTAACGTCAATCTGAATCCAATATAGTGGTCGCCTAAAAATGGCGATTTACATTTTTCAGTCATCCCTATGAGATGGTTATGAAATTAAAGAGCGTTTGAGAGAAGCATAACGAGCAACGTGACGTCAGTCTGAATCCAATATGATGTCCACCGCTAAATTGCGATTTATAATTTTGGTCACCGCTATGGTATATATATATATATATATAATGAGAGAAACACAATAAGCAAACAACGTAATTCTAAGTTCCATATGGCGATCGCCCCAAAATATATACCTCTATCGAAATTTTATAAATAGTTTTATGGAATCCTACTAATAGAGTATATGAAAATTCTATAGAAACTAGTTACTTGATATCATATATACTAAAAAGTAAAAAATAAATAAAATTGTAAATAAAATGAAAAAAGCTTTTATTTGATAAAGTAAACTAAATATTTAAGACTATTTCTCCGGTTGGAAATATATAAATGATAATGAAGCGGCTCCTTCATCTCAAGTTTTCAAATGAAAGCGTTTTACGTTTTGACAGTAGGGGGAAGGGTAGAACACTCTTTTTATTTGGAAACATGGGATGAGGGAGCTTTATTAACGTTTAAATATTTCCAATCGGAAAAGTATTTTTAAATTTTTTATACTAAAGAAGGTTTCCGAAAATGTTTGCGTATCAGCAATTTCTACCACCAAAACCAGTTCCTTGAGTTTGCTCAGGGAGATCTCATCTCCCTTGACCAACTATCACGGGGTACCGAGATTCTTGAGTATCTGCAATCGCCACCAAAGCTAGCTTTTGGCGGAATTGTAGATCACAAATCTAACGTTATTCTTTCGCTAGAATCAACGGAAGATCCCAAATGTCCAATTATCACGTTCCGATTCAAGTTTTGCTATACTTTAGTAGTATGTCGATGCGATCGTCGGCGACGGGGAGCTTCGAACGTCATATTTATGTTGCTTATACCTTAATTTTCTAAAGTAAATGAATGACACCTTTCTACGGTTTTTCGATTTTTGCATAAAACTGCTGAAAAGTCGATTTATGCAATTATGTATTTCCCTATATTTTGTACCAGAATAACAAGAAAATTCTGCTAACATTCAAACCTCTTTTCTTTCCAGGTAAAATCACCCACTTCGCCGGCAAACCCCCTCCAACCCCAGGATCTGCAACCGGTTTCTCAACATCCTCCCGTTGCCCATGTCCTTCAACCTCCCCCTCCTTAACCTCGAACACCACCACAACACCTTCCTCGCAACACCATTGCGTATGCCCACCACCCGCCGCTTCTGCATCCGCTCCAGGCCCTGATGAACCTCCCTCGAATGCAGAGACTCTCCTAGCTACTGACGCTCGGTTCCAGGCCGTTTCGGCACTTGCAGTGTCTCCTGGAGGCACCCTTTATGTCGCTGATCAAGGGTCATTGCATGTATTGGCTCTTGAACATTATCTGCCCACGCACGATGAGAACGGTAAGTATCACTCTATGTTGAACACATTTTATGCAAGAGATTACATGGGGCCTTTTCTTTAAATAGTGCAAACGCTGAGTTCTTGTAAATAATAGCAAATTTTCCTAGATTACCATTATGTAGTAGCATGCGATATCAGATACGGTCAGATCCACTGAAGGATAAGGTAAAAAGACGTGCGTTTATATCTAGTTCAGGCGCCGTTTGTTCACAAACCAGATTTCAAGAACTGGAAATAGCGCATTCCTATTTATAGCAATAACGAGCTTGTCGACCTGATGTTGTTTTGCGGTATGACCTCAAGATGATGCCGATTATTCACGCTTCAGATCGGTTTCCTCGATATTTCCGTCCCGCGCAACGTAAGTTTGCTTATCTAGTACAAATGCCGTTTGTAGGAACGTCGAGGTAGGTAAAAGTACAGGAAACCAGCGAGTACTCGTGATATACCAATATATAGCAACAATTAAGGTTCTTTTTTACAAAGATAAGAATGATTTTCATAACAGATTCAAATCAGCGAGCAGTATTAGATGGAATTCCGCAAAAAAACACTGTTCTGCCTTGAAAGTCCCATATCGCAAGTTGAGCATTTCCATGAGGTGCGTGTGACCAGCTACTATTTAAAAAAATTGAGCTATCTTTTTGGCTATCATTTGATTGATAATAATAGGCGACGATAGTTACAGTAGTAACGCCATAAGACAGTAGGCCACAAAGGGCTAAACAAGAACAAATTTGAAAGGGTCAGCGTTTTTAAAAACTTTTTCGTTTTAAAGACGCAGTAGGAACAAAGATTTCGCAAACTAATACGATCCGTTGATGGAAATGACATTTTAACTTTCACGGTCTTCAAAAATTTTTCAAAACAACAAACAACTAGGTGATCTGCAGCTAGCGTACAAAAATTTCATAGACTGCCTGACTCTTTTAAATATAGATATTACTGATCTATGTTGTCTTATGACTTGCAGGAGAATTTAGGATTCCGTACCCACCAGCAGACGAAGTCTACGTCTTCAACCGTTATGGACAACATGTGGCCACCAAGGATCTAGCCTCAGACAAAACACGGTACACGTTCCTCTACTCTAAGAACACCAGCTTTGGAAAGCTTTCCACTGTAACTGACAGCTCTGGGAACAAGATCCAGTTCCTCAGGGACTACAGTAACGCAGTCAGCAGCATAGAAAACACTCAAGATCACAAAAGCGAACTGAAGATATCAGGTGTAGGATATTTAGTGAAACTTAGTGAAAAGGGAAGGTCGGATATTGAGTTGGATTATGACATGAACACTGGATTGCTAGCTAGTAGATCTGGGGTAAGTGTACGTATATGCCTTCTTCCACATACTACAAAAATTTCGTTTACGTCTTCTATAGAAACTTCTTGGAATACTTGCTTTTTTATGAAGCTTTCTCAAAGTAGTGATATTGCTCTTTAGTAATTGCCATGAGAAATGCTGGAGTAGGGCATTTGGACCGGCTACCAAGAAAGAGTTCTTCTGGAAATACGGTTATGAAATTTCTCTGTACCAGATTATCGGTCAACTAGAGTACTAAACTTCATAGACCCAATGTTGCTATTAAAATTTTAATCAAAATTTCTTCTACAGGGAGGCGAGACATTCATCTATCAATACGACTGGCTCGGTAGGGCAACTGGCGTTATACTTCCAAGTGGAGAAGTACTGTCGTTATCATCTAAGATCTCTAATGATGGTAATTTGGAAATAAGTATTAGCCAACCTCCTAGTACGGTAACAATCAGTGGCAAGGCGAACAAGCACGTCATTATATTCAATGGTAAGTTTTAAATATTGCTATTTATACTAACATTCAAAATTGAACCCTCAAAGCCTACTACCGAATCTTCTGATCGTCGCTTTGGTACGTCGTTTTACGTCTAGTAGAAGACACTCCAAAAGCAAAACATATCAATATGCTCAACATACTTGAATACTTTAATTCGTTTATTATTAATTTTCCAGATCAAGAAAAAACTGACGCCGTAACACTATCCAACAATACAGTGGCGCTGAAAACAGCGTACGACAGCTTGATGAAGGTGTGTGCGGTAGCCAGACATCCATTGCTGGAAGCCTCCTTACCCGTTGAAGCTGAGCTACTACCAGTGTGGTCAGAACAAACTACGATCTTCGGTGATGGCCTCGAGAATGTCATCTCCACTTCGTTCAGCTTGGTCGGAGATGTGCGGAACCCTCAGCAGACTCTGTACCGCGAGATCTTCGTGAACAAGAGTAAAGTGCTTGGGATTGAGTTTGACCAGTTCACCAGCAAAGAGACCTTCTTCGATTCTGACAAGCTGCCACTTCTGACTATCAGCTATGATCCAGCAGGATTGCCTTTGCTTTATACTACGTACAATGGAGCTGACTCTTTGAACATATCTTATGACAACTTCAATAGGGTATGTAACAACTAATAATAGATAGTTAATCGGCTAACCCTTATTTTGGATGTTCCTAAAATCTCAAGAACCAAGGAACTCATCGTAATAATCAACGAATACGAATGCATTAGAAGCAGCCAAGCATAGATGTTTATATTGCAATGTTTTTCGCCAAAATCGACTAGTTCTGCATACCTTTGACTCATTTGTCTACCAATGCCTAGCAAAGTGAGAGCGTTATATCAACATAATAGCAACACTTACTGGTGGGAACAGCTACATTGTCTAACACCACAATTATCTGCAAACACTCGCACTTTTAAAAAATTGCACTTCTCTTAGTCTAATAATTGGGTGGTAGAGAATCATACTCTACTCTCCATCTCGTTAAAGGTCATTTTTTATCATTTCTGCCGACCGTAAATACGCTGAAGGTGACTTGGGGCCATTTCCGGTGATCTCGTGTAGGAATCCAACGGCCCACTACCCGATTTTGTGAATTAGTTTCACATGCAGTGCCGCGGCATTTTCGGGTGGTGGAGTTTTAACAGAAATCGGCTTGCGTTAGTGAGTTTGTTATCGGAGCTCTTTTTCTCACTCTCTTGGAGATTTATCCGTGGACAAAACTACACTCATCCATGGCGCTGAGGGGGACCGTCTGCAATGATTATCCGAGGCGAATTTAAGTAGGACTCACGCCTGAGAGGAGCAGTTCCCCATTTCTGTGAATCCTCATTGTTGAAGGGCTTCCTGCCCTCTGTTGCCTTCCGGTGATAGCCAAGCACCTACTTAGGTGTTTTCTTATTTAAGTCTTTTTTTACTGGAAACCATTTAGCTGGGGGGGCTTGCTTGTCCTCCAGGACTTCTTTTAAATTTCTTATTTATTTCTTTTGTTCAATAAATGTTTGTGTACCTGTGAGTTCGTATCTCCTTTAGCGCCAGAAGTCCAATAGTGTTTACTTGTTATTTCTTTTCCTAGTGCTTGGAACTAGGTGGGACATAAGCCACAACCGTGCATCCAAAAAGTAAGGTACAAAGAACCACTCTCTGTGGTCTCATATCTACCGACTAACTTAACTGCGCGGGATAACAAAGGATATAGGATAACCCATAGAAGGTGGGCTTGGTTTTGATACATTTTTAGAGGTTTTTTCTGACAATAACTTTTGACGTTTGCCAAATAAGCTTGGGAATGTATTAATTTTGGAAAAATATTGAAAGTTAAATGATTCATCAATATCTATCGAGATGGCACTTATGGAGGGAGGCGAGTCTCTCATATGGTTTCTCTTGCTATTTAGCAAGACAATGGTCCGAAGAGCGGCGTTTCTATTAAGAAAACTTTCAAAAATGCAGTTCCTTCAAAAGTGACGGAACCACGGCCATTTTATGTTATTCTATTCGTTTTACGAAAATTGGACTCCTGAGTGTTTTAAGCTCATAATAAATGAAATGGTAAAACTTTATGTTTTGACAAATACGAATATTAGTGGGAGGATTATCAGCAAGAACATAACTATAATTGCTATTTTGCATTTCATGAGGTTCCGATATTTTTCTTAACAACCTTTTAAGAAGGATCGTAAAAAAGTTGTGCTTTGTACTCAGGAAAAGGATCAGGGTCTACAAATGGCGTTCTCGACCCTGAAAGTAAGTTGATCACGTATATGAAATTTTTGCATTTAAAGATTTTAGAGAATGTGTATTTTTAACTCTCATCAAATTAATCTTTAAAAGCCTAAAGTTCGCAGTTTTGGCATTTTTACCAAGATCCAAAACATATACAGCGCTTTTCTTTAATGTCCCCCTCCCCTTTGATTTTTTCAACGGATCAATTCAAAAAATTAAAACTTGAGGGGAATGAAATTGTTGCGTGGATACCATATTTTAGAGTAAAATTGACTGATGAAAATGTCAAGATGGCCGCTGGGCGCCATATTGTAAAAAAAATTATCAATCAATTATCATCTTCAAAACTGAACTCAACGTGTTTATTCGAATTATCAAGTTAAATGTCAATGTATTCAGGTAATTATTAAATGTACCACCATTTTGTAGTAAGTAAAGGTATTGACTTTATATTCTAGGGTTATAAAGTACTCGTCAGGAGCTTCGAAATGGTGTGGCACAAGACCCCCGTCTTCATATAATTTTTTTTTCCAAGCGGCCATCTTGACATATTCATCTGTCAATTTTGCTCTTAAATATGGTATCCACGCATCAATTTCATTACCTCAAATTTTAATTTTTTGAATTGATCCGTTCAAAAAATCAAAGGGGAGGGGTACATTAAAGAAAAGCACTGTATAAAAATGAAGGCGTTGCTCCACCGCGCTCAAAGTAAAAGCAAAAAATGAAACTTGTCAATACTCTATTAAAATAAGAATTGCGAATGATCAGTCAATCAAGTACTTAAATAAGAATAAAAATGATGATGATGATGATGATTATGAAACTTTAAAATATATATGATAAACCTGAAATTCGAGTTACTTTTAGAATCGAAAACCACGTTCATAGGCCCTGATCCTCTTTAGAGCGTTCGGTTATTTATCATTTCAACCATTGATTTAAAATAAGGTGGTAACCAGTGGCAAGAGGTGACATTTGTGAGCCTTCGAGGCTTTGATAAACCATCGCATACAAGAAAGCAAATACTAACCCGTTTCAAAGGCCACACTTCAATCTGATATTCCAATAATTATTGCAGGTCGACGGTTGGAAATGGGGAGCTTCAGAACTCAAATACAGCTACGACCGTCATGGACTTCTATCAGAAATCACAAGCCCTCTGGATGGAACCCAAATATTCTCATACGACGACACAAACATGCTTTCCAAAATCACCCTGGCCAGCCAGAGAACCTTTACGTTGAGCTACGATGACAATGGAGGATTGCGACACGTGACACTTCCTAGTGGTACCAAGCATTCGTTCAGTTTGCAACCTTCGCTGGGTTTTATTCGGGGTACTTACACACCGCCAGGCAGCACCAAGTCGTACCTTCAACATTTCTCGAATTCGGGGAGACTATTGCAGACTGTGTTTCCTGGAGAAGGAGCGCGCATTGTGTATAGGTAAGTGTGATCAGGGCGAGTATTTCAAGTTGGGATTATTGGGAATATACCTTAAGTCCTCTTGGAGAATATTTTGTTGAGTACCACTTGAACAGACATCAGAGTACCAACGAGCAGCTGATAACCTCATATCGGTAGTCACATTTGGGCGGTTGGTTTATTTTAAAAGGCTCACGTCGGTACTCTTGGTGTTACAAAGGTTTCGCAATGAAGATCCGACAATATCAATGCGGGTGTTCCTCGGGGCTCTTTCACAGAATTGCCAGAATGATAATAGGGATGAGCTGAAAAGAAGGAGATTGGCAACGACAATTTGGTCCGATACTGCTTAATACAAGATAATAAACTTTAACTAATAAGAGGCTGTCAAATCAACAGGACTCTTTTTTGGGCAAGGCTTTTATAACCACTCTCGGACACAAAACCTCGACAGCATTGGCCTAAAGCCTGCTCTTCGAAGTGTGGGATTATCCAGAATGCGATGTACTCACTAAAACCCCTCAGTCGTTCGCTATATATCCCACCATGGTAATGCTGCGTCATGGTGGGTAACGTTGCGATATACCAAAGGTATTAGTCATCCTACCTACCGATTCAATTCTATGTACATGTACAAATCAGCAAGTAGAAACCTATAATTTGTTCATTGGTCGGTACCCTGCTCGGCATCACTTTCCTCTCGAATGGTCGAGTGTTAACCGATTTGCCCTCCTTTATAAACCTGGTAAAGTTGTCAGCCGTAAGCCTCTAGCCGAGCGTCAATTCCAGTTGTCTCTGGAAACCATCCTATCTACCACATTCCAGTAGACGATCAGGGGTATCCTCCTCTGCGTTGCAAGATACACAGTTCGCGTAATCTCTCTTTCCTACACTCTTTAGGTAGCTGTCAAAGTTACCGTGTCATGTGGAAAAACTAATATATCCACACCACCCCCCCTTCTCAGTACAGGTTTTAAAGTCCCGAATCGGTCTTCTGCATATAATCTCCTCAGGATCTATCTATCTCGACCGGCTGATGCATCTATTATCTCAATGCTGCAAAACAATGGAAAAGTCGACAAGAGGAGGTAACTGTCCTGAACTACCAGTTCGTACGCTAATTCGGTGATTTCGAGTTCAGAAAATCAAGTAAGTTGATAATTTTTCTTTTCTTTTACAGATACCATGATAGCGGAAAATTGAAGGAGATAGTCCACGGCGATGGAAAGACAGTGTACCAATACTCAGATACCACAGGTCTGCCCAGCCAAGTGAACCACGTGGAACCTGACCTGGAGTATCGTTGGGACTATCAGTTTTCGGGCGGTTTGTTGATGGAAGAGAGGATTGACTTTGGTGCTAAAACCGGCCTGAGCAACGCCAAATTCACCTACGATTACGACAATAACTATAGACTGATAACTGCGCAAGGAAGAATCGGGGGACAGAATTTGCCACTACACAATTTGGCTTACAACTATAAGACTGGGAAATTGCAGATGATTGGCCCTTTCAAGGTAAGTACTGACTGAAGATACCAAACTAACATGATGTTGTAGCAATTAGTTCAAACAAACTATTGATAATCTAAATCTTGTTTTGGGCGCTGTTTTTATAGGACTGGACATGTGTTCCTCAGATGGGCCATAAAGAGCTTTATGTAGTAAAAAATAAGAATTTTATGTAATAAGTTAGTAGTGACCATTTATACAAAAGTTTTAGGGAGTTATGATCAGAAAAACTACATAAACCCCAAAGTTCACGTCACCGTGTGAGGCTTCAGGAAAAACTAATAATAAATAATATTTGTTTTAGATTATTAAACCAAGAAACAACGAGACAAATGTCTACGATGGAACAGCCCTATTCTCCAGCAGCGTAAATAGTAGATTTCTAGAGACCAAAGTTGCCCTTACCATCCATGGAATGGAAGTTTTTCGAATGGAGTTCAGCCATGATATGCATGGGTAAGTCTAAGCAAGCATTCTTGCATATCACTAGGTTAGTAATGTATAGCGACAAAAAGATGACTATACCACGACCTAAAGAATTTAAATATGTAAAGCTTGAATTTCACTATAATCTATAAACGGGATTATATAAGCCTGCATGGCGTAACTACATATGTTGAGCAACCTCTTCTCTAAATCATGTTTTTTGTCATTAGGAGGATATCCCAGACAAGAACATACACGAAAAACGTCGGCGTCAATACCTACACAAACGTCAAAAACTACACCTGGGACTGTGACGGCCAACTTCTGGGGGTCGAAGCCCAGGAACCATGGGGTTTTAGATACGATGACAATGGAAACATGCTCTCTCTTACCTACAGAGGCAACACCATACCTATGGAGTACAATGTCATGGATAGGATCATCAAGTTTGGAGAGGGGCAATACAAGTACGATAATAGGGGATTGGTCATCCAAAACGCTCGGGAGGAGAAGTTTCACTACAATGCCAAGGGATTGTTGGTTAGAGCTACGAAAAGGGGAAGGTTTGTGTTAATCAGAAGCCCACAGTATTGAGGACAATATTATTTTTGGATAACTAGTTAGGGTTTCCTAGTATATTAGTTTCTGCCAAAAGAAGCATTTTCTTTCGCCGAATTTCTGTAACTCCGGGTCACGAAACTCCGACATTTAAACTGTCATATGTGATTATACAGTTAGCTACACTCACAGTAATATTCAAAAGACAGATCCCTTGCGAACATAGTGCGAGAAGCAGAATAGCTATTCGAAAGTGGTCATGGTTCCGAGGAACTGCATGATTTAACGTTTCCTTGATAGAGAAGACACCTTCCGGGCCATTCCCTTGACAAAATAGCACGAAAAAAAGTGCTGTCGCCCATCATCCACATACCTCAAAAACGAAGATAATTTTGTAATGAAATGTATGATACACAAAACCTAAGAACATTAATCATTTAGACAAAAACCACTTACTTTCTAATGGTTATTCTACTCCCTCGTTTCTAAGAATTCGCCTCCAGTGGTGACTAAAATAAATATTGTTTTTTCACATGATGCTTTCATATATAGTTCTAAAAATCCCAATGTTTGTGATATCACACAACAATTTTTACCATTCTAGATTTGATGTCCGCTACTTCTACGACCACATGGAGAGATTGTCGGCACGCAAAGACAACTTTGGCAACGTAACCCAGTTCTTCTACAACAACCCGTTGAGGCCAATGGAGGTATCCCAAATCTATTCGCCCAGGGATGGAAAATTAATGTCGCTGGTCTACGATCACCGAGGTCATCTGATCTACGCACAGGTCTACAGGCACAAATACTACGTAGCCAGCGATCAGTGCGGTACTCCTATAATGATCTTCAACCAATATGGAGAGGGCATCAGAGAGATCATGAGGTCGCCGTATGGACATATAGTGTATGACTCCAATCCGTACCTGTACCTACCTATAGACTTTTGTGGAGGAATACTAGATCAGGTAAGATTTATCTTATTGGTCAGTTATTAAGATCCTTTTTTATATAATACCACATTAATTTTTTGTGGGCATTAAGTCCTAATTTTCAGCCCACTTCTTCATGCGTTAGGGCAACTTTTTCACCCTTTAAATTATTATATATTATATATGTAGTATGAACAATTTTATTTATTTTTATGTCCATTTAATGACTGAACATGTGTTTACTAACCTTACCCCGCTCATAGATAAAATGTTCGGGGGTGATAAGCTTTTGTATCCCTCATCGCGGGCTCTAATTCTAAACCGTGGGCTGTAATTCTACACCGCGGGCTCTAATTCTACACCGCGGGCCATAAATTAACGCCATAAATTAACACCTTAGAATACATGAATAACCATAAAGCGGTTTTCCTACTCCAATCATAAGATCCTGCGACATTTCGTGGTGGCCCTGTGGACCTACCTCCATCAACTGAGAGATAAATGCATGTTCCAGAATATTTCCGAGCGTCTAGAGGAGTGCTGGAAATGTCTGAAGACCAAAGTACATCACATCTCCTCAGGACTCAACAACATGTATTTTTACTTGCAGGTCACATCACTAGTTCATATGCCCAGTGGGAAGGTTTACGACCCGCTGATTGGTCAATGGATGTCGCCATTATGGGAAAACGTAGTAAAGAGGGTACCAACACCAACATACCTCCATCTCTACAGATTTAATGGGAACGACCCTATAAATGTTGAATTGGATAGAAACAGGCCTCAAGGTTAGTTATAATGAGTCTTGATTGTCATGATTGACTTGTTGCATGAATATGTGAATTTTTCCATAGTAAATGTTATTAAAAAACTGGCGGTTGGTATTTTCTTGCGTTTGCCTTGCTTTTTAGATTCAGCTCTATAACAACTACTTACACAAAACTCCAAAATAGGTCTAGTTTGAATCTTCCACGATACACATAGTAATGGCCATGCATGTTTGCGTTATGGCTTAGGTATCAACAGCATAAGGTACAAAGGGCTGTGAGATATTCGTAAAAAACATTCTACTTTGTTCATTATAGATCACCTAGATTGGCTACACAAACTCGGTCTGGACCTGAAGAGTTTGGCGCCACAGCTATTCCCCGAAAGCCTACCGAGCGGTCAAATGCCTCCTCTGATGACCCAACCACCGACCTTCTGGAACCCCCGAGAAACTATGGACACTCACTCAACTTCCGTCGAAATACAATCTGGTTTCCTATCCCACATGAGCACCAGGAAAATGCAGACGGCTAAGGAGCTTAGCGTGTTCTCGAAATCGGCGCTAAAGACGAATGTTATTGATTTGGTACCAAAGAAGATTGGAGCTGCCAGTGATCCGCCATTTGGAAGAGGTAAACCCGAAACATCAATTTATGTTTTCTTCTAAGCTCAGATCCCCTTGTTTACCCTTCCAAAATAGACCAATGATTCAAGTTGATACAGTCTATATCTGAGTTTGTAAAGCTTAGTCTGTTTCGTCTGCCCACAAATCAAATGCATTTCAGTTCGAAGGATTGTCATTCCTCCCTAGTAGTTCAATGCGTTTCCTGTTGTCGTGTATAGTATTGATAAACCTTTCAGATTTATCGTATAATTTCATCAATTTCAGGCATTTTGGTATCAAAAACAGACGCAGCCCAAGCAGTAGTATCCAGCGTCCCAGCCGCAAACGCCATCTACCGGGACGTATACACATCAGTCTTTAACCGGTCCTATTTGGTACCCTTCACGTTCGTGATGCACGGAGCGCAACAGGACGCTTTCTACTTTGTTAAAGAGGAAACTTGGAAAGCCAACGATGACAAGGGACAGCTGAAGAGGTTGCAGGGACAGGTGAATACTACATTCCACGAGATCGCCAAAGAAAATGGGAGCGGAAATACCTACTTTGACGTTAAGATTCACGGGTCGAATGTTGTTGTCAATTTGAGGTAAGTAGATGTTACATATAATCAGAAGAGAGACTTATTAGTGTAGCAAAAGAATGGAGCCAAGTAGATTAAACTGGTACTCCAAACACCAGCAATCCCATCTCTCGTTTTATCAATTTTTTACCTTTCAACTTTTTTTAAACCAAACAAAAATGACTGACAGCGCTATCAGAAAATAAGTTATAGATTTTGTTGCTTTTTTTGTTCGTTGTCGCAATTGTTGGCGCTACAAGTATTAGGGATCCTTTAGACAAAACGTATCCATATGATGAAGATGGACAACAGCTAGCACGCTTATATTAAAAAGATGCTTATTATATTTTTGAGACATAAACGATTACGTCTAAAAATCGTTGGGGAGTCGAAAACATGCTGTTTTGTTTTTGATCAAAAATCCTCCAAAAATATCGACCAAGTTTCGATAAGGTAATGCATTTGGGAACATACAGCGAGAGTTTTTAGTATTGGAAAATATGTTTATTTCTACAGGGTGATGCATAACTACGTGAACGCCCAAACATACATTTTTTAAATGGAATGCTCTATATTTTATTGCAGATTTGATTATACGTTTTAAAACGAAGCAATTATTTGGTATAACCTACTACTCGGACCCGCCGCAAACGTTATTGAATTTTTCATTAAAAACTTTTTATGGTCTGAGACTTTCTCCATGCATACTTACTTTTTCAATTTTCTGGTAAGTTCATACCTGGTAGACAATAAGGGAGAATGAACTACTTCACAAAATTTTAAAATGTTATATATAAATATATATGTTCAGATTTATTGATTCTACTTTTCACAAGCTTTTTTCTGATATAAGGTGTAAGAGGGCTTGTACGACTGGTTTTTGAGTCACAAGAAAACAGGAATGTGAAAATATATAGGTCATGTACAAGCTTTTATAAATCGATCAGTTTGCGTTCTTGATCACCTTGTATAAACTGTCCAAAAGACCGAAAAAAAAGTAACGAAATATAGCTTACAGATGACAGTTGCGGAGGTCCGAGTTGTCAAACTTGAGTGTTTTTTTTTTCATATTTTGTCCAATATCTCAACAGTCTGAAAATGTAATCCTATAGTATACTATATGCTTTGTTTCAAAGTGCCTATCTAAATCTGCAATATAATGTAGGCCTTTCGATTTAAAAAAATTGATGTTTGGATAACCATGTAGTTATGCATCGCCCTGTAGAGATGAAATTTTTTTCCAAAAAATAAGCATACTGTTGGCTACAATTTTTGTAATTAACTTTATTCTATAGCATGCGTAATAACGGAGTTATCGACCGAGCCCACACTAAAAACTCGCCCTATATATCTGCAATAACTCGTGGAGTGCTGGCTTCTAAAGCTTCCACTCCCTTGGTTCGTCTTCTCCATTCAAAATCGATTTTCTGAAATATCATCGTTGATTTTGATGAAACATCTGTATAGTCAAATATGAGCTCCGTGATCTGATGTACAAGAGTTTCATAATAAGAAACTCTAGCCATTCTGTAGAGATTCACTAAAAATTGGTTTGAAAGCGAAACCAATTTTTTGAGTGTAGAAGAATTTTTGTCATTCTGTAAAAACGGCTTCTACATACATAAACCCTACTTCAAGAGTATCCATCACGATATAACGACACCTGATTGTCTAGTAATATCTCAAAATTCCCCATATCGGCACAGGACAAATAATTCCGTCTGATCCGTCAACGTCAAATACTCAGAGTTGTATTTGGTTTTGGTTTTTTGTACGCTACAGATTCATTTTGTACTTGCTAAGAGCTCTTTTACTTACAAAAGTTCATTTCCTCACAACAAACAAAACGCTACAAACAAGTTTTAGTAGATTTACACCCGATTCATTATTGCCAACCTCACAGACTAATCAGCTGTTCACCTCAGTAGACGTCAAAACGAGAGGATACACGTGAAATAGGGTATAGGAGTTTTCGTCAAATCAACGACGATACGGAACTGAAAGTATCGGCCTTCGAAATCGGATGATTTAATACTTATGGATTATTTTCTATAGAGATATCAAATCACCAATCTACATGGTTTAACCAGAAGCTATCAGCTATCAATATTTTAGGTTATTCCAATTTTAAGGTTCTATATTGTTAAAAAACATCCTGCAAGTGAAATTGGTTATAGAAACGCCAAAACAGACAGGCCGATGAGCTGACATGAACGACATAGATTTACATATATAGAAAACGGTCCTTTTGTTTGATTCACTGACGTCTGATATCACCGATATAGTGCCACATCCTAAACAGTGAACATTCGTTTAAATTCTAGGTATGGAACGACCATAGAAAAAGAAAAGCAAAGGTTATTACACCACGCTAAGCTCTCAGTTGTCCGAAAGGCCTGGCACAAGGAAAAAGAATGCTATAAGAACGGTTTCATCGGAAGCGTCGACTGGAATGCCAACGAACTGGAGGAGCTTTCCAAAGTCGGTTACGTGAGCAACTACGAAGGAGAGTACATCCACGACGTCAAATACTACCCAGAACTGGCTGAGGATCCATACAACATCAAGTTCGTCAAGAAACAGGCGGAGTCGAGTAAGAAACGCAGAAGGAAAAGAGATGCCAAAAGGTCTTGTACTGATCGATGGTGGTTCACGTTCACAGATGTATGCTAGTGAATGACAAGACATGCAGTGAGATATGCATAGTAATTGTCTGGTATGACCTCCTCATGAGTTTCAGGTCAAATACGGGCACAATGACGCAATGTGGTGGTTTTTGAGAGCAACGCTCAACAGTTTCTTTTTGGCCCAAAAAATATAGTTTCACATAAATCAGCCTATTTCGTGTATACCGCTAGAATTTGTGAGTAAAAATCCATCGCAACCAATATCTATCATATTGTACTTGAATAATGATTGAAACATTGTAATAGTGAAGTTGTGAAAAGAAGCTACGTCATTTAATCACGAGTGTTTCGTCTATTCTAGATTTCGAGGAATACGTTCAAATAATAATGTTGCTTCTACGATAATTACATAAAAAATCTGACTGACACAAGAAGCAAGACGGCAAGGTTCCAGGCTAGTATATCTGGCTAGAATTGGACCTTGTATAGCGGCGCAATACACAACATCATTCAAACATAGGTACCAACAAGTTGATAGTGAATATCAACTGAGTATTATACTGCTGACCCATACACGATTATTCTTTCCTGTCATTCTTTCGTGTTAAAAGAGTGAATGGATAATAACTTCCCCTCGACCTTGTGTTGTCTCCTTCCGGAATCGTTGGCAATTAGTGAGAAAATGTCACTTCTATACGGATTTATGCGTGTCGAGTTGACAAGTCAACAATTCTCATGGGGACATTGCCGTGCATTACTCGCCTGATGGAACAAGGAGCTTGCATATACACATATGCGGCTGCCTAGCTTGGTCCATTGTGAAAAGCTGGCAATTTTGAAGGCGTTTCTGTAAATTTTCTATCTTGATTTTGTTCTCTTCAAGACCTGAAATCGTGAGGTGGTGGAATACCAAAAACAATTCAATTAACCTATTGATCGACCAGCCAAAGATTGCTAGGGACGAAAGGGGGAAATGCGATGAAAAAACCTTACCATTAGACGATTTTATATGGAGTCATAGGCGGAGATCGGAGAGACTTGAATTATTAATTGAATTTATATTTTATTACAACTGGTAGTATTAATATTTTTTTGCGATTCATAATGACGTGATACCAAACATACATTATAAGAAATAAATATACACAAACACTGAATATTGAGAACAAAATAAATATATTTTTTAGGCAACAAGTAATATTCCTATGTACGCATTATGATTGAACAGCAAAACAAATTATGCATTCTTCTAAAATAGAATACAACAAGTCAAAAATATCTGACTGAATAGAAAAATATAGGAAAACAAAAAGTAATTTCTTGATGAAATAACCCATAAACAACACATAGAATTAGACTTTCTACTGAGATACTAAAAGCCACAAACCAATAGTATAATAAATGAATATCTAAAAATTCTAAAAGGTAGCCAATCTAGTATAGTTTCAATCCTGATTAGAGTCATGATCACTGTCTGAGGAACTGTCATTGCTATCACTTTCACCTCCTATGTTGATTATTATTTCTTCCTGTATTTCTTGAATGAGACTGTCTTTTTCCCAATATTCATCTTCAATTTTTATAACATGTCCAATAACCTTTTGCCAGTCACTGGCACTTACTGAAGCGATGGCCTTATTAGAAATTTCATCTAGTTTTTTTATAGTAAATTCGCCGCTTGTATTATGGCTTCTAATGAAAAATTTTACTTGTGCCCAAATCATCTCTATGGGATTAAACTGACACATATAGGGTGGCGTTCGAAGTGGGGTGTGTCCGAAACTTCTTATTAAATTATCTATCTTATAATTTTTCTCATCAGATGGTGGCCTATGTAGACAAGCTATTTCATAAAGCTCCATTTTTTTAGCATTAGGATCATGCTCTATACCTTTTTTGCTCAACCACGTGATGATGTCTCTTTTTAGAGAAGATCTAGTTGGAGGCTTGTCTTCCAAAGCTGAATGGTAAGGTGCATTATCCATTATTATAATACTATTAGGAGGAATGTTAGGAAATAGTTTTTCAGTAAGCCACTTCGTGAAATTTTCTTGGTTCATTTGACCGTGATAATCACCAGTGGCACAGCCAGCCTTGAAAATGAGACAGGCTCCAGGAACAAAACCATCTTGCGAACCCGCATGAACAATTATAAGTCGTCCTGGAAATGAATAAATAGCCTCATTTTAGTGTTATTTTAAGTTTGCCAACACCTTTTTGAATCACTATGTATAAAAAACATATTTTTGAGAAAAAAATACTTGCAAGGGATTATGTATTCAATTAGACAAATTAAATGAGCACTTATTAAGAATATTCCAAAATTGAGAAAAATGTATAATAAGCAAAATCGAGGTGAAAGAAACTTTATTACCTGTAGAACTTATATTGCTCAGGACACCCATAATTTCTTCGCTTTGCCAGCATTTCTTGAAAGTGAGGTCATTATCAACCCAAGTTTCGTCCAAATAAATAATATGCCTTCCTTCTTCCCGGAACTTTTTAATAGACCTAAGATACTTGTATCGCCAATGTAAAATACTGGGTCTTTCCATTAGTAATTTCCTTTTGTTGTGGCATTTACGCCAGTAAAATCCTTTTGCTTTTAAAAGCAGCCTCAACGATTCTTTACCAAATGGAAATTCCATTTCTTCCTTCAGTTTGATTAGAAGTTTACTACAAGTAGGTACCACTTTAAAATCACAGTAAAATTTTTCTATCATTCTCCGAATAATGGAAAAATCGACTCCATCAATTTTTTGGATCACAGAAGGGCGTGATCTCTTTTTTCCGGGAGAAGCTAAAGGCTGTGTGGAGGTTGCATTTTGCCTGTCTTTATCTTCTTTTCTAATTTTACTTATAGTTCGTTCACTAACACCCGTATAATATGCCGCCCTTGCATTTCTAGCTACCAGTGGATAAACGAAAGTATTGTTAGCCGCTTCTGCATCGCAAGCACGTATCACGTTTGCTATTATTTCCCTTGCCTGGCTGTGAATAACTTTCCCATGCTTGAATTCCATTATCACCACTAAACAGTAAATTATATTTTCAAAGTATTTGCCAACTGCCTACGCCTATGGGAGTAGGTTTATAAATGACCGTGCCATCGGCACGTTATTCTAGTTTCAGATAAGATAAGAGTTTTGGACCAATCAGCGACCGGATGTTTACCTGCGGCCTGGGTTTTCCAGCTACATTGCCAAATTCAGCGGAACAATTCTATATCTTAAATATGTTAATATGTATGGACCGCATTTTATGTAGAACATCTGACAACTTCGCAATTTTTTGTCCGCATTCTTTCGGCTTGCAATCTTTCGCTGGTCCAACAGTAGTGTGATGTACCAAGATGAAAATGAACTTACAAAGTAAGTTTGCTTAACCAAAGAGAAAAATGAGAAAACTACCAAAGTCTATTTGTGTAACAATTTCCAAGATGCCAAAAGAGAAAAAAATGAATTGTATATTATTTATTTACAATATGTTAACTATATGTATGTGATTTGAACGGATGCGACCAGAATCTCCAGCAACTCTTTTTTTATATTGAGTATGACTGATTTGTTGGTTGGGGAGGTTCTGCCGGATCCGATTTTTGTAAATACTAAGTATAGGAAAATGCGCCATATAGTTTCCAGAGAACATTCTATCTCCAAACACAAAATTAAGCTAGTCGTTAAAGGCTCTCCAAGGGAATATATTTCCAGTAATTAAGGATATATGTATCTGATTTGCCAGCTGATGTGAACATTTTCTTTTTGCTTTTATGCTCGCACTTATGCATATCTGTTCTGATAACGTCGCTCTAGCAAAAGAAGCTTTTTCATTATGTTGTCTTGATATGGACAAGTAGCACCTTTTTCCCGGTTTATTCCTTACTACTTGCTGCATTCAAGTATTCTTATGTATATGCAATGTTAACAATCGAGGAAGTTACCTAATGGTTGTGACAGCAACCTACTGTATATTCCTCAGAGTCAAAGAATCGGAGCTCTATACTGCAAGAAACCAACACAAAAAACAATTTCTAAAACAAATCACTAAACGCGTCTGTACATGCCGATATTTTCATAAAACAGCTGAAGTTTCCCTTGGAAAGTGAAGTGCTATGGTTTAGCCAAAAAAATAATTATTCTTTGAACGAAACAGTGTCTAGAAGTATCAAAGGAAATTTTGTAAATATAGTCCAGTTATTATACATTTTTAATGATTTAAAGAAAAAATGAAAGAACGAATTTATCTTAGATAGGGGATGATGATGAGAAATTGATTATTAACCGTATATGTTGTATTGCTTTCTACTGAATTACCAATAATATATCATTGTGACTGATCTATGTTAAGGATATATTTGATGAATAGATGAACCTTATCCGCTGTGTACCTTGCAACCTTCTTCAACACATTTGAAATGATCAGTGTCTATAGGTGTCCATACCTTCTAAAACGTTTGAAAAATCACATTCCTGCATTTGTACACTAAATAAATATATTTCACGAAATAAATAATTTTTCTAAAAAAGTGAAAAGAAAAATTACCTACCGCAATAAAACTTGTGGCATATTATAGGTTCAACTTGTTTGGGCTATTGGTATCAAAGTAAACTGTCCGTACTCCTTACAGCTTAAAGACGTCGCTCACTATTTTATGCTAGAATTAATTTTGTTTTCATTAAAACTATCAAGAAAATTGAAACGGTTTTGCTGTTAAAACGCTATTGATGAAGAGTTTATTTTTTCTACGTCTAGCATTGACAATAATGGTCAGATTTAATCCACATTGATCCACATTATAGACCTAAAAAATTTTCCAGGAAATAGAAGCAACTGACACCTACGGACACTCATCGTACTTTATATTTTGATTACCTACTATACAAAAAATATATATTTTCACCAGAAAACTTAATGCCTGCCATATAGGATATCCCTTGTTCTGTGTGTCGATATGGGAACGGTATGAAGTTTAGCAACAACTGACTGAACTTGCAGCTTCTATTGTTGTACAAAATACAACAAAAACTTGACATTTCAAACTAACTATACTTTTTCGCTATCAACTTTTTCAAAAAATATTTGATAACTTCAAACATCTTTACAGCACCATAAAAAACTGCAAAAAATTACAAAAAATACCTTCTCTTTGACAGGAGGAAGCTTTTAGGAAAAACGTGGATAATTTATCGATAGTCTCACCTGCCCAAAATGTGAGATTCTCCGAAGATACGGCATACCTTCTAAAACCCCTGCGTCATCTGCCATATCTTTAACGACTGCAGCATGTCGTCATGGTCGTAAGACGTGTTTAAAATTCGTACAAAAACTAAACTTCATACCATTTTTATTCGCAAATATACTAATTTAAATGTTATATGTTGTCGAACAAAACCATATGTCGCTGGGTAATTGTTTTATAATCGAATAATCGATCGCTGTTTACTCTATATTCAGATCAAACTATTTATTTGTACAGTACTTTTGTTTTTATACATTAACTGCTAAATAAATTTATATTATTTTATTAAAAAATAATCGTGAGTATTATAAATGTTTTTTGAAATAAAGAGATTGTTTTTTACGAATGTATTTTCTGTTTTTATCCCAAAATCTAGTAGTCACGGACACGGACTGGTAGTTATCTTTGTATTTGTACATATCATTTGCCACGTCACAAAATTCCTTATTATCCATTCGGTCTATGGGAGAATTTTTCAATCGCAGGTCAACTTAATTGCTGCTAATAGGAACTCTGAAAAGGCGTTATTCAATGTCGGTTTCCCATAAAACAGGTATTAACCAGAGAGCTATAAGGGCCCTGTCGCATATGAGTTGTACCAACGAAATTTACATATTTATAGAACGTTGTATTTGTAAACTAATTTTTATTTGTTCAAAATAACTTGAACAAAAACAACCAAGATAATTTGATGCTATGTGGTATTAACAACTAATGGAGAATATTTTATATATACATATATTTAAATTACAATAATAAACGAAAACAAAAAAATTGTTTATGATGTCCGTCGCATATTAGTTGAACCATCTCATGCAATACGATAAAAAATGCTTAGACGGCGAAATCGGATCTTTTTTTAAGGCGGGACTTGAAGAAACAATTGAATAGTATAGTTTGCCTAGAGTTGGCAATTTAACGTGTGGTTTAGTTGTAAAAATGGCTCGCGATATGTGAAATTCCACTGTTGCTGCACACAAAAAAAGGAGTTTCTAGGCATAGAATTGTAAAAAATCTGAGCATTTGCAAGGAACAGTAAGAAACATTATATCAATGTTTAAACAAACGGGAAATAGCTGTGAAATGGTCACATGCGATTGGCAAAAGAGTTTCAAAGAATACTTGTTTAAGAACGATAACAAAATGGGATATTCATTCTACAAAGTAAGTTGTGAGTGTTGTGAGTATCAAATACACTTCTTTCTTTAAAACAAAAACGAAACCGGCTTCTATGGGCAAGAGAGTATAAACAGTGGGTACAACGTCAATGGGATTCAGTTATCTGGAGTGGCGAATCCAAGTTTGAAGTATGTGCGATTCACGTAGAATAACTATCCGCATGCGAGGAGAAGAATATCACACCGACTGTCTCAAGAAAAAGGTTAAATTTCCAGCATCTCTAATGGTATGGGGATGCATGTGTTCACAAGGAGTGGGACGTCTCTTCTTTTCATTGATGGCATTAATGGTGGTAAATATGAAATCATTTTACAAGAATTGCTGCCATCCATTGACATGATTCATTCAACTACAAGAAGGTGGATTTATATTTCAGCAGGATAGTGCAGCATGCATGCAGCTAAAAGCGTAACATCCTGGTTACAGGAAGTGAATATTTATGTTCTACAATGGACTTCAGTCTTATCTCCAATTGAGACCTTATGGCACCAAATTAAAAAAGCACTTCGAACTTCTCCAGTCCGCACCATTCCCGAATTACAGCAGAAACATCCGAAAATTTGGGATAATTTTAAACCAGAATACTGCAAAACTATGGTAGACACCATGCGAAGAAGAATCGATGCTGTATTGAAACGAAAAGGTGACTGCACTCAGTGGTAACAGTTCAAAAACGTTTAGTCCAACAAACATGCACCAGACATTATAAACATTTGCTTTTGTTTTATTATCGTAGTTTAAAAATATAGCAATTGTTGATCGATTTTTAATAATATCAACCAAATCCAAGCGAATAACTAAAATTTCTGTGTTATGTACCGCGGTTATAATATGGTTTAAGATGACACATGGTTTGATGACGTCAGTTACTCGCTTGGACGCGTTGGTTTTAACCACGGTTTTGTTGCAAGTTGTTTATTTTAGGAAAGCGCATATATAATTTCTGATTATATATTATGATAGGAAAAAGCGATGAAAAAAGATATTAGTAAAACCTTACACATGTGGACATCATTCAGTGAGTTTATAAGGCCATATTTTAATATTGTGGTATATGGCTGCACATGATACTTTGTTAAGCATAGGAACTAGATTTAAAGTATCCCAACAACAGTAATGAGTATAACTAATAAGGTGTTCTACTCTATGCTGCAGCTGAAGTCAGCCTATATCAAGTTTCAGAAAAATGAAGCTTAAGTACTACAAAAATATCCAATACCTGGCAAAATTCTAACTTGTCACATTTCAGATAGTAACCAGAAATATAAAACTGAGTTGGGTAAATACCTCAATTTTGCGGTGAAAACTATGACATATAATAGCTGATTCATGACGTCACGGATCTTATAACCAAACTGATAACCACACTCGCTTGAACAGATCGGTAAATACCAATCCAAAATGGTAAATACCATTTTCATTTGGTTATTTGCTTGAATTTGATTATAGTTTCAGATTATGTAAGTTGTTGCAACATTCTCCGAATAGAATCACAGCATCATCACATCATATTCAAATGGTATTTACGCAATCTACGTGTTGTCTTACAATACTGCACTGATCTATATTAGCGCGATTGAGAGCAGTTGTTTATATGTTTTGACGTGGCATAATTAAATAAAGCTATAAGTTCAACCTGTTGTTTGGCGGTTGTTAGTTTTACTTTTTTGAAAACCAAATCAGATACCAAAAAACAAAGGTTTTAATTACCCCCAAATAAATCCCACAGAATATTATGCCCAGGGGAAAACCACCTAACATGGCAACGCAACCTGATGAACACGCATCTGCCAAAGAACAGTTTCAACTCTCACAGCTTTACTCAATTAAGCACGACAAAATATTCAAACATCTGCTCTCGATCGCGCTAGTGTTGATCAGTGCAGGACAGTAAGATAATATGGTTTGTGTGTCACAGCTACCTCGAAGTATAATTAAGGGCTTAGTTAACCATAACATGACAACAGTTGCTTAACTTGAAAGTTAATTGTGAGTTAGCGTGAATAATACAAAATTAATCTTTAAAAAATTTATTACAAACAGAGGGCACATTGTTTCCGAGTGTCACTCTAATAGTGTCATTGAAGATAGAAGAAACGTCATGCAAATAATTCCTTCAAATATATACAATCGTGGATAGTATAGTGAACAAGTGGACGTTACAGATTTGAGCCTTCCATGTTGGCTAATAGTAGAATGCTGTTACAAGAAACAGTGGAATATGATTAAATGACTAAACTAAGTTTGAATATAATACAACAATTTCTTGGAAAGCAAAATTGTCTCTGAGATTAAAGACAGATTATGGGTGAAGCTACTTACGTAATGTCAAATTACGCATGGGAATTGATCCAACATTGCGTCACATGGACGTCACATCAGTAGACGTGATCAGTGACGTAAGCTGGTGTGTATTATGTAAGAAGTTTTAATCATATTCCATTTATTTAGAACAGCACTGTATTTATAAGACATAGAGACAATCTGTAAAATTATTCAAGATTATGATACCTATTATAAACTATTTAGCGAAAATGCAGTTGCAGAACAAAGAATGTACGATCCTGCTGATAATATAACGAAATTCCAGTATAACTATCAGCAAACCTTTCACAATTGACAGCCAACGTTAGCTTTGATGAACAAGATATGTAATAGAACAGTGTGAATGCACTGGCCACACAACCAATCATCTTTGGAGTAATCTAGTAGCGGTAGGATCGACGATATGACGCTTCCAAGTTTCCAGAGGGCCAGAGATAGTATGGGGTATGTATTCGTATCAGTTTTACAGCGATAATATAGTTAAAGGTGAATTGAACAATTCGGGCGCAAACTACTTGCGTCACTGCGTTTGTTCGTACAGTGGTCGGTAACCTGTCGGTGACTGTGTCTGAGATCCGGCCATCTGAATTCCGTCTATAGTTCGCTATACGCAGAATAAACGGAATTTGTGTTGCGGGATCTTGTACACGATCACTGATAGGCTGGCGACAGCTGTACGAACTGGGCTCAAGTGGGTGCATCACGCGGATGAAATGTATTTCTCGGGAGATAAAGTGGCACTTTGGGCAATTTCAACGCTCTGAAAATACTAATCAGTAGATAGTTACTCCAAAGATTTTGTTATGAGGTCAGTAAGAACAGTTTATTGATAGTAAAGAAGATAAGTGAAAAAGGGAACGTATATAAAGTGTTAATAATTTTAAGTGTTAATAAGAAATTCAACTTTTCGGCATTTTATTTCACATAAATACATCCTAACCCGTGCGATACTATTTACAAAATAAATACATGGTACTCCATTCAAGTTGGTAATTTACGTCTTCAAACAAAGACTCGTGCAGACTAGTATCATACATTTCAGATCAATAACATCTTTCAAATACAGGGTGTTACCGAAAACAGTGGCACTACTTAGAGCGCATAAAGTAGATCAAAAAATAACACGAAAAGTTCAAATGCCTTCTCACCGCGACACAGGGTGTACATTTTTAAATCGAAAAAAATATGTGCTTGGACGCGTGGTCTTCTCACTGCTACACCTATATTTCAAGGTCAATAAATGATAGAAAAAATACCAAAATTACAAACTGCACGCCGACTGTGTGACCACGCCTTATAGGATATTGAGTTTAAAATGTTGTACATGTCAAAACATAAATAGAACATTGCGTACTTAGTTTGAGTAGTTTCCAACTAATTTTACGAATACTTGAAAATAACTGATTACCTAGACTCAATTAATACAACAGACAGGCGATGTAGATTGAAATGGTTCAACCAAGGGGAGTAAGGTACAAATATTTTCTGTTGACACTAGAAGCCTGTTTCAAGAATTATGTCAATATTATTCATCTTACGTATTTCTCAATAGGTCTAAAATAATCCGAAACATAGTTCAGTTGTTACTCTGCCACAATGAAATTAAATGGATGCAATTTTAAATGTTATTATGATTTGCTTAAGTGTTTTTTTTGTATTCATTATTTATCTAAGCAGAGAAATGCTACTCCTCAATAAGGCAATGCAGTTAATAATGGTGGTTTCATGGGTTAGTAATGGGAAAATATTTTCCTACGACATCGGCAATGGCGTGAAAATTGGGAGGTTTTACCCCCACAGAAGTAAAAACTCACCTCATTGAAACACCGACTACATTTTTAAATAAGATAGTCAATTTTATATGACCGCATTTCTAAGGAATTTTTTGTCAGGCTACTCGTTTTGGAGAAAAATTGGTTTAAATATTTGAAGCAAAATCCATATTTAACGCTGAAGTTGATAACGTTTTACCTTGATTATTGTATGTATGTATAAGGAGAGTGATCGTATCTCACCATAGCATTATTAGAACAATATTAATGATTTGTCCGTATTCAGTCTCACAAAAAGCGTAGAAATTCACAACATCATGTACACTAGTGACTGGACATGTTAGGATATTGAGTTATATGAACTTTTTTGCTATTTTTTTATCACTTTCTGTTCTAGAATTATAGCCATTATTTTTTAAGTGATCCTGTATACAGCAAAATGTGACAATACATCAATCATAAAGAGTGTTTTTGTTTTATAATACACAAAATCAACTAAAATGATCAAAGTTCTACCAATTAACATGTACGATCTACACAGTAATTCACCAAAATAAGTGTGATACACTAAGTTAAAATAAGGCATCCAATTTTTTATTGTGATTTGTTTCGACTAAAAATTACAACGTACGTCTTACGCGTTTTTGCAATGCTCGAATTACCCTGTAGGTATGACCCCCTTAATGCCCGAAAGAATTGACGAATTAAAACGCAGTCTCTTAATTTATTGCATACTGAAACATCACCATCCTTGCCGATGCTGAGTAAAAAATTCGGCAATAATTTACCGATTATAACTAAAAATGGTCACCAAGAGCAAAGAGCGCCTACTCAGCAACTTAAATGAACAAGGCTGTACTTAACAAATGCAAGTATGCTTGTTCGAAAGAAGCAGCCAATGCTTTTTCCCTAAAGTGTGTACCTGATCCATCACTTTCGGAGCATCTGCACTTGAATAATTCCCTATTATCGTAGAAATCCAAGCAATGGATAAGACTAGGAAATACGGAATCATTCTTAAACTGATTTATCCCTAACCTGTCGATTTCTTAATGTTTTGTCATTTGCCCTTGAATTAACCCCTCGAATTTGAGGCAAGAAGAGGGAATACAAGTTGTAAATACTAGTCATTCTTTAACATTCTGAAAACGGTTGGCATGATATGTATCTCGCTTTAATATGATTTGAAATTAGCTGTGTTTTTTCTTACATGTGTAGATGTACGTGGTGGGACAATTAAATTCCGGGAATGCAGTAATAACTTGATGTCTGGTAACAATGCGTCACCTGTCAACTTCTGCCCGGCAAATCGCCCTCTTTTTGAGTTACAGACCAAAACTCAAGTCGATTGTATTTTATGTGAAATTTGATTTGCTTGTTTTTTATTGACAAATTCCCGGAATAATTGGCACACCACGTATTAGTGTATTTAGGACTGTCCTGTTTAAGCTATACAACTATACGCAATAAGGGACCCATTTAATATGAAATTGAAGATGTTCACAATAATCTGAAGAGGTAGCGTCAACCTGAAAACCAGACTATATAATTTTGAACAAGTAGGCAAAAACATATACAGGGAAAAACAAATTTGTCTGACTGCTCGAGATCAATGTGTACGAGAAAGAAGCACGAGAGGTGCTTATCAATACTTGTTAGAAAGAGATAGAAGCCGGCTGAAGACCGAAGGTCAACGGTGAAACAGAAGGCCGTGCAATCTGCCACGTTGCCAATATGTTACACCAGAAAATGTTCGGCTTCTTCACTAGGTTAGGTTAGGTTACTGTCAAATCCAAGAAGGATTTCTGTTCGAACATATAATTTAATATTTTGTTTTCATTTTGATAAGAATTATTAATGTCAATTTTGATGTGACTTAATGATTTAATTTATTTTATAATTGTCTTTGATTTCCACCGATGGTGATAAAATCAACACATCTGAGTTATTGTTACATTCTGCGACAGCGAACAGTCGGAAAATGTTTACGCGGGTGAAAACCATTTCGAAGCAGCACAACACTCTCCAAGAGTACTGACCAAAATCGCTCATCTATGATAAAGGAGGTGAAAACTTTGCCTTGGAATGTACGAGATGCGGTGTTGCCAGGCGAGCCAATGATGCAGAATTTGTGACGAACCTGACCTTTCATTTCGAACTAAAATAGAGCGCCGTTAGCCCCAATCCGGAATCGATCCTAAACAGATTCGACACAATTCACAATTCAAAAATGTGTATGCTCAAAATAAAACCATTATTTGGGCGTAGAGAATAATCTAACGCATATTTTCAATATGCATCTAAATTCAAGGCCGGCTTCTATCTATTTCTAACATATGTGTCTATACATACTTCTCTCTCATACACATTGAACTCAAGCCTTTAGACAAATTTGGTTCTCAGTGTATATGGAAATACGTCAAGATAAATCAAAAACCCTGATTTAAACAATATTAACTTTTGTGATGTATTTGCAGGGAACCTGTGGATGGTTTTTTGCTCGAAATGGCAAAAATATTATATATGTATATTCACGATATATTAAAAAAATCTAATGTTATATAAAGCATCTTTTTATTTATCTACTTTTCATACCACGGAAAAGAACGTTATTTCTAACTTTAACAAAAACTGATTGACGCAGTAAATAAAATATTAAATACCATGTCATGGAACAAGTAAAAAAATACACAACGCATCAATAATGGAAATTATTCTCCCAAGAAGGCTGGTAGGAAGAGTACCGGACACAAAATTAAAACAAGTTTCCTTGGTGTTTTATTACAACACACTGTAATTCATCCATTAAAATATTTGTTTCAGGTTGCTCTGGATCCAAAACTTTCCGTCAGTTTGCTGCTCAGCTTATTAAATGTCATAACTGGTCAAAAGGCCGGTTTTGCACATTTAACTTTATGTTTGTTTCTATTAATTATATACACTTAACTATAGTAAAGTTAATTTGTTTGTTGCTGTCCTAATAACCATATCTCACATATTCAATCAGGAAACATAAAGTCCGGTCATTTGACCAGCTACTGTAGAAATGGGTTATGTTTTAAGTGTTGGTATGTTTAGTGTTGATCTTAGTGAGTTATATAAAACTTATTCTCAATGTACTAACATGATCTATTTCTTTTTTTTAGGTTAGTTCACTGAAAGCATCTTCTGATGAACTGAAATCTAACGAAAAAGTAACTTAACCGTTACGACTCTTGTTCCCAGACGTCTTGGGAGTTTTATGAACTATTTTATGGAACAGCACATTGAATGTCAAAAATCTATAGTAGACTGTGGAACTCACATCCAATTTATCCTGCGGATACCATTAGCAAGGTTAGCCTTTCAGCAAATAGTACTGAAGGATGTAGTAGAATTAGCTGAAGAATCATAAAAATTAACTACAGGGAGTCTTGTAAAAGATATCTTTTTACCTAAGTAATGAAAATTACTCCCTATCAGGATAGACAATTTAAAGTCAGTTATAATTTGGAAAATACTTTTGTTTTAACTACTCTATGCGAAAAAACCTAAAAGAATATCTCAGGCCAGATATTCTTGTGGTAATATTTTAAAATAGAGTTGTTTAACATAAGAGAGAATTTACACTACATGAAATAAAATCATCTCATCACCTAATTTACAGACCAGGTTTTGTGAAACATATCTTTTTACTTCAGTAACTTAAATACCACCAATCGGAAATGAAAATTTAAAGTCGATTATACTTTGGGAAATACTATTGCTTTAACTACCCTATGAGCAAACACCTGAAAGAGTATCTCAAACAAAATGTTCTTGAGGCAAATTTTATATATCAACACCAATAGTCGTGCAATTTATACAGAAGTTATAGTAGCGGACAAAAGTTTGGAAACAAATATTAACATTATTATGAACTATTTCATATACCTAAATTAAAATTGAGAAGGAACAGATAATATAAATATTAAAGTCTACCTTTGGCTCCCGTACTAATACAATGTTTATCTTATCAATATTCAAGTTCTTTGAAAATAAAAACACGCGTTTTTTTAATCAACACAGTTTCTGTAACGACAAAAGTATGGAAACATTTCAGTTTTGTCGTATTTATTCGTTCTGAGATACACTGATATTGCGTGCGGTAAATATTAACATCAGTGAGAATGGCAAAAGTAAAAAGAAATCAAAAGATGTAAGAGACAAAGTAATTGAATTACTCAGAAGTGGTGTCAGAAATTTTGACATTTCTCAAACATTAAAAATGAACAAAGGGACGATTTCGAAAATTATTAGTAGATATCAAGAATACGGATCGACAGCAACTCGGCCCAGGTGCGGAAGATCGAAAAAACCGATAATGTTTTGGATTGCTACATTAAACGTTGGTCCTATGAAGATCCTCGAATGCCAGCCACACAGATTTTCAAAAGAATCGTAGAAGAGGGTGCCGAGAATCTGTCTATCAGAACAGTGTAGAGACACTTGATGGATTTTGGGCTTTTTGGTAGCCGCCCAGTGCAAAAGCCTCTCATTTCAAAAAAAATCGGCTTGAATTTGCTAAGACTCATCTAACTTGGACAGCAAATTTAACTTGTTTGGATCTGATGGTACGGCATTATGTGAGGCGTCCAATACGAAACAGATCCGACAAAAAATATCAGTTGCCAACAGTTAAGCACGATGGAGGCAACATCATGGTTTGGTGCTGTTTTTCTAGTTCTGGAGCGGGTCTGATTATTAAAATTGTTGGGAAAATGGATCAAAAACTTCACAAAGGTATTCTTAGTGAACACATACCTCCTTTTGCTGAAGAAGAAATACTTTTACGATGGACATTCCAGCAAGGTAATGACCCCAAGCATACCTCAATATCCGTAAAGACTAAAAAATGTCAATTTCTTACATGGCCTTCGCAATCTCAGGACCTAAACCCTATAGAACATCTCTGGGAGCATGTTAAAAGACAACTGACAAGAAAAATTTTTAAAAATAGAAACGATTTATTTGATTGTGTAAAAAATATTTGGCAAAATACCCCAACAGACGTCTGTAAAAAATTGGTGTCTTCTATGAGCAGCAGATGTTAGGCAGTGTTGAATGCTAAAGGCTATGCCACTAAATATTAGCTAAACAATGTTTGTTAGATATCATTGTGGAGTTATTGTATTTAATTTTGTAATGGAAAATATGTTTTCATACTTTTGTCGTCAAGGTATTTTAGTGCTAGTCTGTAGTACCGCAGCAAACACAAATTGTCATTTGTATCCTCAAGACTATATGAGAAAAAAGTAGTCCTTATTAATAAAGGATAAAACATTAGCGCACTTTTTAAAAATTACTAAGAATGTTTCCAAACTTTTGTCCGCTACCGTATGTAACAAACAGAAGTCGACCGATATAGCATTTTCGTCCAAATTGGATAATACCGTTTCTGTACGTTCTGATGTATTTTGTTTCGGGTGAGTACGTGGGCTGGCAGGCAAGTCCATTGGCGGTCACAAACACAACGTATAGTTAACAAGCATGCTTCCAAGAACTTTTTGTACAATTACGCATGAAGGACAAGGTGACTACACGCGTAACTGTATACTTAAGAATACTTAATAAATTTTGAATGAATAACAACCACACAGCTTTAGATGCTCTAATTCTGATCCTGAAAAAAATTAAACAGGCGCAGCATCTGATGTAAAAAGTGACAAACCACGGGGTAGAAATGCAAAAATAGATATAACATTCTGCCGAGACCATGCACAGCGGTATATGTGTAATACTGTAAGAAAATGCCAAACACATCAAATATGAAATACCACCTTTCTAAATATCACGCAGACGAGTATACCAAAATGCAGTCATTTGACGGTTCAGATAAAACTGAAGACTGGAAATGGCACGTAACAAAGATAGGTTACCTTAGTACAATTAAAATATATATTTCTATATACTGTGACGGGCTTATTTTTAAAATTCAATAATAGTAAACGTTATTAACTTTATAATTTATATGGGTAAGCCTATTGGTTTGTTCGTACAGGGCTTATGTCAGGCTGTTGTGTCGACCGATTCATATATCGGCAAAATAGGCCGATATTGCCAATATATTATACATATAGGTATCGGTCGATCTCTGGTAACAGACCTATGGGACTGGAGGCAAGTTCTAGCATCCCGGTATTTAATTTTAGTCACTTCTTAGCTATTCGCTCCAAGAAAATGAACTCTCCAGCTCACTCTACCACTTTGAGTTTGAACTTTAGTCCATGTCGCGAATACCGTTTGCACCGTTAGTTTCCAAGCATATCAACGCCCGCTTTCCAATACCCGCTTTCACTCCAAAAAGCAACTCTCGCGCATCATAGATAATACCTGACCAAACAGACTAGATACCCGATCACGAAACGCTAGTAAACGAGTTGATGGTAGTAGTTATAAAAGGCAGCAAGCATTTGCACGTGTACGTACGTGGATGCTATGAAGAATGCGTGCAGGATGATGAAACGTAGGTAGTCCTGCACCACCACCTTCGGCGGTTGGTAACTGTGACAAGCAAAGTCGGCGGAGAATTCGCCGTTCTCATAGAAGTACTCCAGCATGCGTTCTTTCTCCTGAAACAAAAAATGGCTTCAAGTATGTAGTCTGCACTTCCCACGCAACGCTCAGTACAGGTCATAAACGATGTTCAGCACAAGTTAGTCGCCATTAGAAAAAATTTAACCACAAACATGTATAACAAATGAATTAATCGGATCAAGTTCACCAACACCACTTTACATACAAGTACTGCTCCTCAATCACAGGCTTGTATCCCCGATAGCACGAAATATTCATTAAATATTCATTTAAGGGGGTTAAGCTCTCTAGGCCATCCCTCTTACCCCTCTCTCTATTTCTCACTTTTTCAAACCCAGAAATGTATTGTGAGCCTCAAAAAATATTGGTTTATTCTCCAAAGCATGCATGTAACTCTGGTCAAAAATTAAAAGTGATTCTTTGTATAACGCCACAGTGATTTACTATTCTTATGTTTTTTACTACTTAAAATTTTTGTACATTGCCTTTCACAATTGCAATATTCCATTAGTTCGTACGAAATTTTAGGTTTAGCGGTATTCTAGTTCTTTTTTAGTATAATCTAGTCATTCGTATTTGATATTGGTAGCAGGCGTAATGATAGAGCTAGGTAAAGAGATAATAGGTCATTATTTCATTATGTATATATTTTAAGTATTTATTTTGTAATATAATATTTTTATTAAATATTTATTCAATATCTTTTAAATATTTTAAATTCAATATTTCTTTTACAATATTCATTAAATATTTACTTTTCAATTAATGGAAAATATTAGATCTCCAATATTTAGAAAATATTCATTAAATATTTTCGGCTACGGCGTATGTGCGTGTGACCTCGAGCGACCAATGGGATAATAGCAAGCTGGCCTAAGGCATCCATTTTACCTTTGACTTTCACTATGATAGCGTGCTTCCTGTGTACCTCCATTATTTAAGTGTATTTTTGTGGAAAATGGAAAATAGTAAGATTTTCTATAATTACATAGGTTAATTTATCTGACTGGAAAACATTATTGTACCAGTTGAGTGTAAAGGTATTCACAAGACCATAAATAACTAGCCTTGTGGGGTCCTCTTAGGTGCATTATAGAGCTGCCTTTCAGTGGCCCAGTTGAGCTGTTCTGAGTAACTCACCATGCTCTGCACCAATGTTGTTCCACTGCATTTTATATTCCCATAAATACACTGGAAAGCAGCTTATGTATTCAATAATACTTTATAATTAGTAAGTTCTTTTCTTTTCAGAGGAGTGGACTTGCAAGATGCAGAAGAGGCTTAGAATGTTTTTTAATAATACTTTCCTAGCAAATTGAACCATTATATCTAGAATGAATTTTCTTCATACACCCAATTTTATATAAGCATTCCTACAGGTTTTGCTAAAATAACCAATGAAGAATTTTTCTATATACACTGAAAATATGTATCAAATCGATGATGAAAATCGATACATATTTACGAAAAGATTTAGATATTTCATCAAAATATAAAATTCATATTTAAAAACCTTTCCTCATATATTTTCTAAATATTTTTAAAAAAATATTGCAAAAGCATGAATTACATATATTAAAAATATCTATAATGAATCCATGATGTCCCTTGCCCCCGCAACTGTAAAGTCTACCTCTATGCTGTCGACACTGCACTTGTCGCCCAGTCATGTACTGGTGATCTGGTTCACGATGGGTTGCAGAGTGCGGTGGAAGAAGTACTAGAGTGGGCGGAACGCAGGCTATTTATTGTACCAAAAAACATCGCAGCCCCCCAGCAGAGGTCTCTGTAGATGGCAATCGTGTACCATGGACAAATTCTGCCAATTACCTCGGTGTCACCCTTGATAAAGGCATGACCTGGCATAAACATACAGCAGACTTAAAAACAAAATTCCAAATTTCGTTTCGGCAACTATATCCTTTGTTATGTAGATCCTCCAAATTGAGTTTGATGAACAAAGTTCACCTATATAAAATGATTATTAGACCAGCCATTACTTATGCAAGTGCGGCTTGGTGTTTTCTTGCCAAGACACATAAGCAAAGTCTTCAAGTACTGAAAAGTAGAACTTTGCGAACAATTTGCAACGCTCCATGGTATGTCTCAAATGAGAAACTACACAGAGACCTTGATATTCCTTACTTGAGGAATTATGTCAAACTTCAGGCGCAGCGACGGCGACGTTATAGTCAAGCGGAATCGCACAGCAAGCCTCTGTTGCGCGACTCAGTGGACTACACAGTGGAGCAAGTTCGTAAACATTCAAGGCCACGGTTCGCACGGTAATCAAAAATTGGCGCGAACTTTTAGTAAACTTAAAATTACACTCCAACAAAACCGAATCAAAATTTGTTTAGTTCACGTCAAAATTAATCCGTGTACCAAGTCAAAAAGCCTCTTAAGCTAAACACTTCTGTTTTTCTTTGCTCTTCTTCATTTTTCTTCTCTTTCCCTTTCTCTTTTTCCTTGACATTGTCTGGTTTCTGGGCAATCAGTCACTGGACAGTGACTAATGGGCAAAGGTCCCTCGGACCGCCCAGACAAACAAATGATGAATAGTATACGATAAAAGCTGTCAGAAAAGCAATAAAACCATGCCCACTTATCACTATAGTCAAATACCAGAATTGATGATAGTAGTAGAAGACATCGTGCGCCACTGAGTTTGATGCTGTACCTTTTGATTACAGCTACATTTACCGACATTTCACAAAGAAACGCCCCATTTTCGAAGGCCTCCGCGTAATAGCAGTGGCGTACGATGAGTTTCGCGACTGTCATCAATTTTGGAATTTTACTATAGTCACTATGGTTCACTATCGTCCATTCAGAATGTAGGGGGTTTTAGATCCAACTGCAACAATAAAAAAAGCGGAAAACTCCACACGAAAAACTGTTTCACAAAATAATAAATATTACCTGCCACCTGTCGTACAGCCATTGCGTGAGAGTTTCAGGATTGTGCGGCACTTCCTTGGCATTGTATACACGATAGAATATCACAGTCTGGCAAGGTTGTCTGTTTCCGAATACTATGTGTGATAGATCAATTGGCCATCCATTGGGATAGCCTATTGTTATGTCTAATACATACTGCAGTTGCGGTAGACTGTTTGGCTTTTTGCCTGATAACTGGCTTCCTGAAATAAAAATATAGCATATACATTGTTTTATTACTAAGTTCGGTAAAAAATGGCATAGGTCAAGCACCTGATACTAACCCATGGAATTTTTGCCAGTTGTAGCTGTCATGTTAGCATTATTATTTATAGCTGAGTTTGGACCGACAGTGTCCATAATAACTTGCATAGCACCTACTCTGGGCAAAGAAACATTCTCCAACTTGGGGAGGCTCATTTTTTCTGCATATTTTTGCGACACAGCCTTCCTCTTTCTGAGGAATCCCCCTTCTGGAAATAACACCATCCATCTCCTTTTTAGTGGGATGTATGTGTCTATTATATGCTTTGCAAGCTGTTGCAGGGATTGATCTCTTTTAGTTTTACCCTAAAATAAAAACAATCCTAAACTATTTAGCCAGAACGAGGATTTTTCTAATCTGGATCTCAAGATAAAACAATATTTATGAATTTTGCACTCCACACACAAGATTTTTCTAAAAGCCTTAAACATCAACACTGGGCAATATACAGCTGAATTTCACAAAAAAAAAACAATTATCACTGTTATCAGTATTTGATAAAGATAAACATTATTTTTCACAATCTCCTGCAAGCATGTGTTTAAGAATGATAAGAGACCATAATAGTTGCATACTCATTGGAGCTTGTGAAAAGCACAAAATAATAAAAAATTCCGAACGTATGGTCAGGTTTTCTTGTATCCTAGCTAAAAACGCGTTTGATTGATGTAACATCTGAAATTTATCTTGTGGTTTTCATGCTGACAATGCTTTGGCCACCATGATCACGTACAATTGACAATGACTATATCTTGTTGTATCTGCCTTACAGGTTACAGTTAATTTGTTTTTTCTTTTTACTTCTCACTTTAACGTTTACGTATTGGATGTTATATGACATGTAGATAAAAAAAGCTTGTCACTCATTTTCGTCTGTCCGCTAATCCGTAGACCGTCTATAACTGCTCGGATTTAGATGAATTTTTACACAAGGTTACTACTATATCAAGAATGAAAAAGCCTAGTAGTATTTGAAAATCGGTCCAGTGGCGGCAAAGAAAAAGGCCAAAAGAAAAAAAAGAAAAATCGCCCAAACTTTGCTTCCTGATGTTTCAGAGGATCACGATCATTTCTGGAAAAATATTTAGGGGTCAACTACTGTATTACATTTTAAATATTTATGTAATTCTTGACTGGTAGAAACACACTTTGTGTAAAATGCCAATATAACTACCAGTACGCTCCAAACCTCGGTAATTCTACGCGCCTATCAAACATATTTCACACATCATATATTTCCCCGTACATTTGCTCTTGAACTTTAGAATGACAGAGAAATGTTTTCGATAGGCGTTTGCTTCTGCTCCCGGCCTGCCGGGTAAGTGTTGTGATATGCATTTGACCAGTGGGGGTATTATGTAAGAAACCAAAAAAACGTCAAAAAAAGCTACGTTATGTCACAAAATACCTATGAAATGTAAAAAAACCGACAAAATGTCAAAATGGAGAGGCGACGTTGCAGGATGGACTACCGATAGCTCAGCAAAAGAAGCTCTATGGATTAATTGTATGGACCTGTTTGACTGACTTGATCCGTTTAATTTCTCTGTCATACATGTTCATAACTAACTTTTTTTTCTCAGAAAGTCTAACTTGTACTGAAGATAGTCCTTTATGAACTGAGGTCGGCTTTGTGTGGCAAATATGGTCAACTAGCCTGAGGTGTTTAACAACAGCCTGAACAGGCCTGCATCATGCCGAGACAGCGCGAAGCCATCACTGCATTTTAAGATAGTATTGCACAAAACCATCAAGGCCTGGAACCTCCTGGGATATCCAGCCCCACAAAGTGATAAGCCAGCATCAGGTGTCATCAGTGAGAAATAATTCAAGTTAATGTGGTTTTATTTATGCGGCCAGACGTGGAGGCCTACTCTAGATCTAGATAGAGTTAAATTTCAAATACAAAAAATAAGAATTGGTTTGTCCATTTGAAAGGTGAGTTGACTCAAAGGAACACAACAAACATCATTTAAATTTAAAATTATGTATTCTAACCCTTGTGTTGTTATACTCATGCACGTTATTTAAATTGAGTAAGGGCAATTGATTAGGTTCAATACTTACTGACATTATGAAGAAATCCTTGTGCAACACACTAACTACACCAAAATTTGTATACTTAAAAAGGCTATCCATAATCCACATGATGTTAGGTAATACATGTTTTTTAGGATTGAAACAGGCAAACAACAGTGGTACATCTGCTGTAGATTGGTGATTTGCTATTATAAGCGTCTTTTCTTCAAGGCATTCTGATATGTCATCTCCAACTTCAACAACTAAAAAAAAGGATGTCCATGTCCAGAATATTCAAGTTTCCAATACATACAAATTTCTAAACTGTTATCTTTTTATCAATTCCTACAAAATCAGTTGAATGATCGATGAAATTACGCGGTTAGAAAAACGCGACAGATGACAAACATATTACCATACCTACAAGAGCTCTAGTACTCTGAACCAAAATACGTTTCCATAATAACGCGATGAACTTAACAGTCACAACAATCCACTTTACCATCTTCAGCAGGTGTTTTTGTTAAAATGTCAACCACAATTATGCCAAATGACATAGAATTTAATTTATTTGGGGCAGACTGCTGATATGTAACACTAGTCAAACTGTATTTAACCATTTGAAAGAACGTGGATCCTGATGGGTCCTGAAAGCTTTGAATCCATCAGGTCTTTTAGTCAGGAAACAAAAATGGATAATGTCGATATTTAACCAGTCGTCAAAATGTGTAATCTTTGAACAATTACAATTCTTTCGTGACTTTGTGTGGAGAATAATAATAATACATTATTTACAGAACCTATTGTTTCATTGGCTTTTGTCTTGTAAAAAAATGTGGAACAAATAATTAATGCCACTGTAAAATAAACACATTTTACAATACTTTGTCTATTGCAAAGGTTATGACTGGCATTATGAAATAGTCTTGAATATAAACGTGCCAAAAATCGCATGTATGGTTTTGAATTATTTATTCAAATCAGATCTCTTAATCATAAGAACTTATTTGACAGTTGACCTTGAGTTTATTGAATGGACTTTTTCTAATAATGCATATCAATGCTTTACAAAGTATAGGTACAGAGTTATTATCAAGGTTGTTAGACTAGACTTATCTGTGTACATATACATTTCTAAATTGGATTACATAATACACATTTAATATTGATGATTCACATAAGGTTAATCAATAAAGCAGGAGAGCATCATATAAATGATTACTGTTTCATTGCCAGAATCCTAAGATATTGTGACAAAACTTATTGGTGCATCCAGAAAAGAGTTCTGGAGGGGACTCAGGATTCATGCTTCATCCATTAAAACCATATTAGCAGTCAATCTCATTTTGTGCTGATCTGCGCTTGGAGAGGGGTTCACAATTCACAAAAGGGATATAGCATGTTGTATTATATGAAGAGATATGTCTTAGGCTGTGGGATGGGAGGTTTGAGCCCCAAAGTCCCCACCCGTAAATATGCCAATAAAATAATTAATAACTAATGGTATAAACAGGATCTCATATTTTTGTGGTGTATTCCAGCTGTCCTGCTTCTGTATATGAACTTGATGATAATGAAAAGTATTTCCTGGATACTTACTATCATATCCTGCTGAATAACTCCATAATGAGACCATTGCTAATAACCAATGAAAAAAGTACCCTTCTAACTTCCAATAAACCTCAGAATTGAATTTTCTCAATGGCCATAACGTCAGCATCCATATAACATATGTTGGTATACAATATACATTGTTCAATAAAATGAAACACAGCCTTAATATTCCTCGTGGTATCTCGTACCAGCGATTCCTACAAAATCATAATGTAAATGATTCTATTCGTGATTGTCTGTCAGAGCGGTCCGTAGGACCCTTGCTCTTGGTTGAAGTCTTGTAAGTCAGTAGATCTGTCAGGTCTGGTTGCCCAGATACCAAACAAAGTCAAGGAGAAAGAAGGGAAGAAGAAAGGAAGGAAGGAAAGAGAGCAAAGAAAACAGAAGTGAATGTAGATGATGTCATTATACAGACAGCATACTAGGCCGAAGCCACTTTAAAAACAAAAACTGATCTTCAAGGATGAAATGTACATTTCAAAGATAGGTTGTCTTGATTGATATATCTCTTTCTAGCCATCAGAGTAAAATAAATAATAGCAAACTTCTAATAGATCATACCAAAGTTCAAAAATGTATTTTGTGAGATCAGACAACATCAAACACTCCATGGTTATTTTATTTCTTCATTTTGAGCTGGCCTCAAGTATGACATAATTTGAAAAGTGATAGCTTTCAAAAATTAGCATACAATAGAGATTGAATGACTGTGATCTCCTCATTTAACCAAAGTGCAAAAAAGATAAAAACTAAAAAATATTGTCCCAAACATTCCATATACAGAAACATAATTATGCTAGTAATACTTTGAACTTACTGAATCACCCACATTGCATAAGCATGCTAATTGGGTGTACTGATAATTATATGCAAAATATTCCTATTTCTTTGATAAACATATTGGAAACAAATAACATAGTACTTATGTACTAAAATCTCAGAAGCATTGTACAAAATGATAAATTGAATGTACAGGTCTGCAACTGGATGTTGCACATCACTTAAATTATTACAAATTGTAAATATTTTTGTGCACATACAGCTAATGTTTATTTTCATTGCCTGATTCACTATAAATGGCATGCACACCACAAGCTAATCTGTTTGAAATTAATGATAAGATGATAATGACTGATTAGTCTAACACCAATGGAATATTACCTTGATATTTCTCCTGTATTATCCATTTTTGCTTAAATTTTTATGTATTATTTAAACCACCAGTCGGGAATTACGTCACAGTCTCTGATAAAATACATGAGCAAAACCTAGACTTTTCTGTGTGACACCAAACTATTCGTGGACACAATATGATCTATACCATTCTCGCATTAACACCAAGCAAATTACAGCAACTTCAGATAGGATATGTAATAACTCTCTTGGATCATTTAATGTTAGGGTTACCGCAGTATGCTACCGGAACTACCACAAGCAATGCGTACTTTGATATCGCACTTTTTAGTTTTGCGTTCCACCAGCACTATTTCTTAACTACAAGTCCTGAATTTTAATTTTTGGGAAGGCATGTTTTTCAAACAGACTTCAAGGTAAGAGATACCACTTTGTTGCTCACCAAAAACTGAAAAATTGATCAGTTTGTTTATGGTTGATGTTGACAATCACTGACATGACAAATGACTTGCCAAAAAATGCCATAGACCAACGGCGGAATTTCGAGTATTCGTTCCGTGCCGTGCCTACTTGGAACGTACTCGTAGAATGTACGCAGTGACCATCACATTTTGTGCTAAGAGATGACGCATGATTGTCCTATTATTCAAGGGTTTTCGTATTTAGATTTTTAGATCACGATGGTCATTCAAATACATGATTTTCCGGCCAGGAAGTCATGTAGCTCCACCAGCATGGAAACTTGTGATGGAGTAGAGGCGGCTATGGATAAGGATAAATTTCAAGTGATATGCGGGTCCCACACGATGCTTTCAACGTTGTGTACAACGTTCGACACCCCATAATTCGCAAGTGTCTCTCCTAGTTCTCCTACACGATGGAATGAACTATTTAGTCTCGGTCGTTCGACGCATGGTGGCGCCAACGTGTATTATCAGTGTCAGTGTCGCGCTTGAACCTCAACCCAAGGAAAATTATACAAAATGAAGGATGAAACAATTTTTTCTAGCGCCGAAAAATAATTTCAGATGTCTTGAGCGACCAAAACTTGAGTCAGTCAGAAGCCTCAGAAATGTCGAGAAACGAAGTTTGACAGTTTTTTGTTTGTTTTTCGACGATAGCTCCACCGCCGCTGTACCGATGTTCAAAAACTGCAGAGCTTTTTCGTCATTTTCATATTGGTAACCTAAGCTCAAAAATTTATCAAAATCCTGATAGTACTTTCAAGAGTTATAATTTATTTAATCGTTTTCGTTAGTTATGAAATGCGAGTCAATATATTTCTCAACTAGTCTTGCATTGAAACAGGACATTATAATGAAACAACTGTAAGCACTTGATAATTTATAATTTACTAAAATACATATATCATTAGGCCAGCCATAACTCACCTGCGAAACGAGCAAAATATTAGCAATACGAAAAAACTTATGGCAGCTTACGCTAATTTAATTCATTCTCCTCAAAAAGTTAGTTACCGAACATACATTATTATGAATAGGTAGGTATTCAAATCAAAATACTTCCCACATACCACTACTTCTCCATGCTCGCAGCAAACAACTAAATAATTTTTTCGCCGCTACTGGTTCTAACCTAAAACCATCAAACATATGACATCTCGTGTGGGAGCGTAACGAACCATGCTTTCAACGTTGTTACGTCCTTCGACGCGGGTCAAATTTACCGTCACGAGCCCGATCGTGCCATGTGGCGAACGTTGGACACTTGTAATCCGTCAGCGCTCTCCCACACGATGACGATGTGGCGAATGACCGTGTCCAACGTTTCAAGGCATTCGTCACATCGTGTAGGACCGGTTTAACTTGATGGTCGAGTGTAAGGTTTAGTTTGGCGCGCAGTTTAAATGGGCTGGAGCTGTGCCATCTGTTGGGACGGTGCTGTGTTAACGCGTCCTTGTTTTGCTGCTTCGTAATGATCATGTCATGATTTTCAATTTCGATTTTGCCCAGTAGCAAAAAAAAATTTCGTTCTTCCTATCTAAATAAGAAATAGAATACGAAGTTATTAGAAGACACAAACATCGATTTTTTACAAGCTCAAGCGTCTTAATACATACTGTTTTACCATTGAAAATGTCATCGACAGCAGCATTGCAGTTCATAGAAGGGAATCTCGACGTGGATAAACTAATAAGTCAAATACAGAACCGTCCAGCATTATGGGACATCACTTGAAAAAAAAATATAGTGATTGAATTACAAATTTTAGGTGGGTTCATGCAAGACTTAACGTAACTTAACTTAAGAAAATGAGCATTTAAAGCGCATGCGCGGCCAGAATTGCCAATGTAGCAATGGCAACAATATCAACATTAAACACACTAACAAAATCATATATGTTTAACGTCAAGGTAGCAGATAAAAGTGTTTTGTGGCTTTTGTGTTGCGTGGACTGGTGGACCAGCCTTGATATTGACAAGTGGCCCCTCCCCACTCGCTTGCGCCAATGCACTGGTAATCAAGTCACAGAACTCTGATAATAGTCCAGATAATATCGAAACATCTGCTCGGAAAAATCTTCCGATTCCGATTTTTGCATAATCTGATTCAAGGACCTCTGTTTTAAAGAATCTGCATGTGACTAGGCCCAAAATTGCTCCAAAAATTGTTATTAAAAGCGATTCCAAAAATTGATTTGTTCGCTTTGTTTATAGCATTTTGCGGTTTTTAGGACATTCTGAATAAAAAAGCAAGGTAAAATCTCAAAATATGTCATTTGTTACCCTAAAACAATATGAAAAATGAATATTTTGATATTGCCAAATCTCACACATGCTTCAACCAACCAATAACAAAACCCCCAGAGCATTTTAGGGAGTACAGTTATTGTAAATATTTGCATAGTAATTATGAATTGAATGCGCGCTCAATGTATAGTCTATGTCTATGTGAACGCGAGAGAGAGATGAAATATCTCTCGTGCACGCTGAATATGCATTGAGCGTCCGCTTGCATATCAATTAAATACAAAACAGTATCTCCTAAAAGGTATCGCAATTGTGTTAATGGTTATTTATGAAGCATGGCGACATAAACATTTTCGTTTTTTCAGATCGTTTTTCGGTATCGCAAAATCAATTTTTTATACTTTCCCATCTCGTACAAAATCAGCTTTTAACAAACATTGTCAAACATCGTTTTGTTTCGGAGTATCAAAAAAAAAACGAATACTACCTTTGATCAAGGAAAACATTAATTTTTGGAATTTATTTGAAAAAGTTATACAAACAATTAGAGACGCAATTTGGAGCCTGACAACATGTTGATTTGTTACTAGGAGGCTTTTTCGAATAACATGCAAAAAGTCTGTATCCGAATATTTTCCTGAGCAGATGTGAAGATATTTCTTGGACTATAACCTCGACGGCAGCGCCACTTTTCTTGGCTGGAAATCTGGTGGAACTAAAAATATTGAAAGTATGCCGACAACGCATATCAGGAATGTGTCGGCGATTTCATTTGTTTACATTACGAAATCTGACTGATGACCGTCCCGATATTGAGGCAGTTCGATGATCATAGATGCATAACACATCCTCAATAAAGGAAGTATTTCTTTCATCAGTTTGGCTAGTAATGAATTTCAGAATAATAAAAAAATGTATAATTAAAAAAATATTTATTGAACAGTCCCAGCAACAATAGAACAAAGTCTCCATTACAATAAATTGTACATACATAGAAGTATTCTACTCATCTGGATTTTTCTCTATATTATGAACCTGATCAGTCCAATATCATGCAAGCACTATCTCTTGTTAATTGATCATGTATATTTATTGCGAAAACATAAATACTAAAATAACAAAAAATACATCTGTAGTTAGAGGACTAACTGGAATACAAATATAATCACTCTGATATGTGAATCAAAAATAGTTTTGCACACACTGTTAATGGGTAAAGGCAAACAAAATTGTCCTCAACAAAACACTAATTGTTTCTTCAAAATAGGAAACAAACTCCTTATGTCATTGACAATTAATTTGGTAACCATAAAATAAATGACGATCTTCACTCCAACTGTCTCCTCGAAGTATGTTGACACTGTGAAACAAAAAAAAAATTATTAGCATAATATCACTGTCATATTTGGTCAGCAAACACTAAACAGAAACATAGTCATCTCACCACGCCCCTTCAGATGATACTGCTCTGTACATATGTATAAATTCCCAATCTAGCAGTATACATTTGATTGCCAAAATTCTGTGTGTAAACAAATTTTCATTGATGATACCAAACACCAGTCCTTAATTTGGCCCTTTACCAGATTTGTACCAACAGTACAGATGTCACAAAAAAAAGTTACGTGCTACTCATCTGTTAATAATATTGTTTGTATTCTCTCGATAGATTATTTGGCTGTTGATGGTTGATATATTCAGAAGCCCACAGAATACGGTATATGGCCATCTATTGCTGAATCGTGCTGTTGAATATTCAGATTTCATTTTGTCGACCACATCTACGCCTCCTTTCGTAAGATTATAGTCTGTAATAACTTCGGGCTTGAAAGCATCTCCAGTGTCATCGTTGATCTTACTATCATCATGCAGGGTTGATAATAACAGCACGTCTTCGTTTCGCTTTGGTACATATGAAACAAGAAGGCACTTATTGGGGTTTTCATCAGAGTCTTCACCATATGCAAACATGCTGCTTTTTACTGGTCTATTTTTCACATCGAGAAGTTCTCGAGGAATTTGAGGCTTATTTTTGCGAATTGTTCCTATTGTAGTTAGTCGATGGTTTACTAATAAGCTATTGCCAATGGCACTGAGGTGAAATAATTGTCAGTGGTTACATTTCTTCCTGTACCACTAATTGGCTCTATAAGTCTCAATACAACGCTCGCTGCGTAATTTTTTAGGTCCCTCTGGTGGGTTGTTTACCCGCCTAGATTTCAAGATTTGATGTAAAAAATGTTCTGGCGTCTACTAATCCATAGATGCCGTATTTGGCGGGTTTGTTGGCTATGTATTGTCAAAATCGGCATCTCCCCCGAAATGCCTCCAACATTTCGTCAATTGTTACGTAAAATCCCGGAGAATAAGCTTGTTTACAATTTGTTTATCTAACCCGCGGCCGAACGCCATCACTCGCGTGCTAGACTGGAACTAACATTATGCGATTGCGGCACTAGAACAAAATAGCTCCTCCCCACGACCACAGATTCACATAGTAGATTAGTTTGAAGGAGTATTCCTAGATGGTGGGCCTGCTAAGCCGCAAAATTTCAAATTTATGAGAAAAATTAAAAAAATGTTAATTTTTTCTAACGGTGCGAGCGATGGAGGGTTAAGTTCGGTTACGTTAAGTCGTGCATAAACCCGACATTAAAAGGCAACTACTTGCATTTGGCCTCTCCCAACCGCGTTTTCTCAATGACCGTCCGGCTGCAGTGTTGCAAGAGCCAAGATTGAAAATTCCGCTACTGGTATCGAAAAACTCCGCTACTTTCCGCTACCACGGGGATTATCGTCGGGTTGGCGCATCATAAAACAGGGGGGCATTTATTTTACAGGCTGTGTCAAAAAACG